TGAGGGAATTTGTTTTGCTTGTTTATGCAACATATATATTATAAGAAACTTGTTTTTCTTTTTTTTTTTTGTCCTCAATAGTGTGGGGAGTATGAGGGAGAGAAAATAAGTTTATGTCAATTAAAAAAAAAGAACAGTGACAAGAGTGGTACTATAGATATTGCTTGCTCTTTCAGATGAGGTCACTGTATTATTAGTCTTACTTAACTGTTTTACTTGGGTACTATAGACCTTTCATGAAGTAGGGCTAATCTATAAATGTAAAATCAAAACAAAACACAATAATATATATATATATATATATATTTTAAAAAAGAGAAATAATGAGGGCCCAAAGTAAGGTGATAGACATAAGAATGGCATCATGGATAGAATGTTGGACTTGGCATATGAAAACCTGGGTCCAAATCCTGTCTCTAACACTTGGTAGCTGTCTGATCTAGGACAAGTAATTTCACCCATAGGAGACTCAATTTTCTCTTCTGTAAAATGGATATTATAATAATACTTCTAGAACTTACCTCTCACAAGTGTTGTGAGGTTCTAGTTAGAAAAAATACATAAAATACTTCACTAACCTTAAAGTGTTTTAAAAAAACTGTCAGTTTATCTAATCTCAATAATCTCTTTAGAATAATAATAAGTGAATGAAAAGATGTGTGAGGCAAGGGAGAGAAAGAAGTTCAAGATGACCATGAGTTTTCCATTCTGAGTGTCTGAAGAATGGTGATGCTTTTAACAAAATTAATGAAGTTAGAAGGAGGAACAGGCTTTGAAAGTGAACTGTATCTCGTTTTAAAGGCAGGGGCTCTGTCTTATTGATGCTTTAAGTCTTTACCATTATCTTGCAGAACATTGATAAGTGTTCTTGTACTGTTGTATTATATTGTTTGGATTTGAGATCTTGGTGGGGCATCCAGGTTGGAGATATCTAGCAAGGTGATTGGTTGGAAACATGGACTGGGATAAAATTTGGGACTAAAGTTTGGGAGAAGAGAAGAGTGAATCATTAACCCAGAGATGAGAGGATGACATCATTAAGGGGAAAAGTATATAGAGGAGTGGAAAGAGTGTTGGTTAGAGCCTCAGAGAAGGCCCCCATTTAGAGGGTGCATGGAAGAAGGCGCAGCAGTGAAAGAATCAGAACAGCAGTGGTAGGAGGCAATCCAACAGAATAGAATATCACCAAGTACAAAGGGTGGAGGGATTTTTAGAGAAGAAGCATGGGCACACACTTCAAAAAGGTCCAGGGGATGAGAACTGAGAAAAGGTCTTTGGATTTGGCTATTAGAAGCCAAATTTATTAATTAATATTAATATTATATTATTAATAGCCAAATTTGGCTATTAGAAGCCATTGCGAACTTTTAGGAAGGAGTCTTATTAAAATAGTAGAGATAGAGAAACCAGATTACAAGAGATAAAGAGGGAATAGAATGGAGGCAGCAAAGAGAAGCTTTTTTTGTGACAGGGAGGAGTACAGAAGGTTAGCTAGGTGACACTGTGGATAGACTGTCTGGCCTGGAATCAGGAAGACTCATCTTCCTGAGTTCATATTTGGCCTCAGATACTTTACTAGCTGTGTGAACCTGGGCAAGTCACTTTACCCCTGTTTGCCTCACTTTCCTCATCTGTAAAATGGGCTGGAGAAGGAAATGGCAAACCACTCCAGTATCTTTGCCAAGAAAACCCCAAATGGGATCACAAAGTTGGACATGACTGAAAATGACTGAACGACCAAACAACAAAAGGAATAGAGAGATGGAATTATAGTTTCAGTGAGCAGCAGGGTTGAGGGAAGATTTGTTTTTCTTACTAATCTATCAGCAAACATTCATTCACTCATTAATTTACTTTTATATTTATTGACAATAAATTAATTTTAGTGTTATTAATTTAGCAGGCATTTATAAGTGTCCACTATGTGCCAGGCAGTCTCAATAAGGGAAAAGCATGATGAGAGGCTTGAGAGGCAGGATGGTATAGTGGATAGAAAGCTAGACTTAGAGCTTGGAAAATCTGGGTTCAAATACTACCTCAGACACATACTTACTCCTGACTCTGGATAAGTTCCTTAACCTCTTTTTACCTCTATTAAAAAATGAAAAGAAGTATAGTTTCTTTGAAATTTAAAACTAAATTAGTACTTGTAAACTAAGGAGAGGATCCATTTAACAGAGAAAAATTGAAGTTGTAAGAAAAAGATGAGATAATTGGTATAGCAAGGTTCCAGAAGAAGATGGAATTAAATGCTCAGTGAAAGGGTGGAAGGAGAGACACCTGTGATTGAGATATTTGGGAAGAATGAAGTGGTACCAAAAGAGGCAGAGAGAGGGGGAGAGGAGGGAAGTTGAGGAATTTCAAGCTGGGTATCTAAGCCTGCAGAGTTGAGAATATAAGTGCTCAAATCCCTGAGGAGAGAATTTGGAATCAAGATTATAGTAGACCAAGTACATTAATGTGGTGGGACAAACAGAGTAACATGATTTTTATTGTTTTTTACTTTTACTTTGTGGTGGCAAAGAACTGGAAATTACAAGGATATCCATCAATAGGGGAATGGCTGAACAAGTTATGGTGATGATTGTGATGGAATACTACTGTGCTATAAGAAATGATGAGCTCAATGATCTTAGAAAAACATGAAGAGACTTACACAAAATAATGAAGTGAAATGAGCAGAACCAAGAGAACATTGGATACAGTTATAGAGATATTGTTTTAAGAATGATTTTGAATGAATAAGTCATTTTGACTATTACAAATACCCAAATTAACATATTAACAATAAAGAAAGATGCTATCTGCATCCAAAGAAAGAACTGAAAAATAGAAGTATGCATAGAATAATTTTACATACATATACCTATTTGTGTCAATGGAAGTCATCTTTAGGGTGAAGGGGAGGGGAAAAAAAGAAAAAAGAAATTTGCATGACAACTTCACTATATATTTAAAAGGAATAACAAGTTGTACATAATAGATTTGTAGTTTCATGTACAATCATCTTTTTTTATAATACTAAGTTATGGAAATGTTTATTTTATTCCATAAATTAAAAATAAAATAAATAAAAAGAAAGTCACCATTTTATTTTCTTTATGAATGAAAGGAAGTAGTTGTATGTATATTAATAATAATAATAATAATAATAATAATAATAATAATAGCTAGCATTTATATAGCACCTACCATGTGCCCGGCACTGTGTAAAGTGCTTTACAAATATTATCTCATTTGATCCTCACAATAACCCTGCAAAGTATGCACTCTTATTGTTTTCATTTCAGAACTGGGAAAATGAGGCAAACAGCTGTTAAGTGACTTGCCTATCATCATACAGGTATTAAGTATCTGAGGTAGGATTTAAAAGTCTTCCTGATATCAGGTCCAGCACTCTATCCGCTGTGTCACCTAGCATATTGCCAAAGAGAAAAATGAAGAGGCAGGACAGGGATATTCTAGTTCAAGGGTAGCAAACAAGGCTGAGGTCCTGTACAAAGGGAACCTTCCAGAAGTCAAAGTGAAGTGCAAGGAGTTCAAACTCTAGACTTGCTAGGAATTATTTGCCAGAGGGGTTCAGGATGCTCGCTGCTTTTTTATTATCTATGGTTGATCACACCCTTCAGCATCCCAGCATGATCTTCTGCATCTGTGGCCACCATGAAACTCATGTAGATTTATTTGATTTTAGTAAGGTAGAAGGCAAAGATATCTGACAGAAAAAAGGGAAATGGAGAGTAGAGCTTGGGAATTGAGGAGACGTGAGGAAAGTTAAAAAGTTTGGAAGAATCCTCATGGAGAATCCAAAAAGAAGGCAGTAGGAGATAAGTAAAAAGATTGTTGAGATACAGTGCAGTCACAGGTGAAGTCAGTATAATAGAGGTAGCACAATGGAATCAGTTGGCATGTTTATGTGACTCTTTTGAGGGACACACGGCAGCTTCCCAGTAGGAGTGGAGAAGTACAATGATGGGATTTGGAATTGTCGGGCTTGGGGGAGATGTGGTAGAAGCACAAGATCTAAATCGATTTTAGGAGTTTCTGGTGAGATCACAGGGTGACTGATTATTAATATGAGCCCAGGTTCGGTGAAAAAGTAAATGAAGATAAAAGTATCCTGATGGTCTGGTAGACTATGGAGGATTCACAAGAACAGAGGTCATGAGGAGGGGTTTTAGAGGTAGAAAAGTTCTAAATAAGAGGAAGTTTTTAAGTGGTTATCTACTTGTGGGTGATGGAAACAGAACAGAAAATATGGTAGCTGAAGACAGGGAAGTCCAGAAACAGTGAGGGAAAGGTATTTGAGTGGTTACAAACATTGATATTGAGATCCTGAAGAATGCTGTCTGGGATGGGATAGGGAGGACTATGAGCCTGGGGATGGAGTTAGACTTTTAAAAGGTTATTTATTTAAAATTTTTATTTTCAGTTCCACATTCTCTTCCTCCCTCTCCCCTCTTCCTTCTCCCCCAGCCATTGAGAAGGTAAGAAATATGATGCTTATTGTACATATGAAGTCAGATAAATCACGTTTCCACATTAGCCAAGTTGTGAAAAAAGGAAGGAAGAAAAATAAAGAGAAAAAATATAGCTTCAATCTGCATTCAGAGTCATCAGTTCTCTCTGTGGAGATGAATGGCATTTTTCTTCATGAGTCCTTAGGAACTGTCATACATTATTCTATTGATTAGAGCAGCTAAACGTTTCACTGTTGATCTTACTTAAAATATCACTGTTACTCTGTACAATGTTCTCCTGGTCCTGTTCAATTCACTCTGTATCTGCTCATATAGATATTCCCAGGTTTTTCTGAAATCATAGGGATGGAGTTATCAAAGGAGGTGGGGGTAGTGTCTGTTAGGTTAGTAGATGACCATAACAAGGATGGGGAGATGAGTGGTAGAAACCAAAAAGAATAAAATAGGTGCCACTGCTTCAAGTCTAGCCTTTAAGCTTAATTGTTTTTTTTCCTTTCTCTTTTTCTGTTTTATAACCAGGCAGCTTAATACAAGTCCATGGCTGGATTATTACTGGAAGGATTGAAACCTTTGATAACAATGTTGAGTACATCGATAGGTAGGTGTGTGTGTGTCTATTTTCAACTGGGGACACATATGTGCTTTTTGAGACTGGCTTCCCCGACAGCAATAAATTGAAAGCAGTTGGCACAGAATTGCTATTTTCTTCTTTGCAGTTTATGGTCCCTAGTGAGTTGGGCTTCAGCAAACTTTGTTAATGTAATTGCAACTGGTCGATTAAACGGTTCCATTTATTTACTGGCAACTAGTCACTCTGGGCTCAGTGTGAATTGCACTGTAATTATATCTGTTGATTTTCTCCCTTAGCCCTTTTGCCTGCCTTTCCCCTGAACCCATGTTCCCAGGCTGAAGTGAACTCTCTAAAACAATGGGAAAATCTGAAATTTAATTATATGTTTGTTTCTTCTTGTTGTAAATTCGCACATTTAGAAATACTATTATAGTGATTCAACTGGGGGAGGAGTAGGAACTGAAAGCCTTTGAGTTGTTGATATATTTTCATTAAAATGACAAAATTGCTTTCTTCATTCATTAAAGATTTGTGTAGGGGCAGCTAGGTGGCGCAGTGGATAGATCACTGACCCTGAGGACCTGAGTTCAAATCCAGCCTCAAACACATAACACTCACTAGCTGTGTGACTCTGGGCAAGTCACTTAACCCCATTTGCCTAGCTTAAAAAAAAAAAAGAGTTGAGTTGTTACTTTGGAGCAGCTAGATGGCGCAGTGGATAGAGCACTGGCCCTGGATTCAGAAAGACTCGAATTAAAATCTGGCCTCAGACACTTGACACTTACTAGCTGTGTGACCCTGGGCAAGTCACTTTACCCCATTGCCTCGTACAAAAAAAAAACAAAAACAAAAAACAACAAAAAAAGATTTGTGTAAAGTACAAGAGACCACAAACACAGGAGCAACACTTTACATGGACACTAAGATATGATGTTCAATATCCGTGGAAGCTTCCAGGTGGTGCTCTGAGGTCAGGCTGCTCCATCTCACTTCCACCATGGATGGAGGGACAGAACTCATCATCTCAGCTATAACTAGGAAAGCCACAAGATGGCATCCCAAGTCCTCAGCTACCAGCTTGCTTAAACTGCATATGTGTGGACAGGACCTCTGTGGTACCCATGTCTTCCAGTTTCTAGTCCCTTTCAGAGCCAACCCAAATTACTATGAAATATAGGGGCATAGATATTCTTTATAGTAATTCATAATTTATCAGATGGCTCTAGCCCACATTCTTAAAGAATTTGAATATTTTTGTTTTCACACTTTGGATGACTTTTAAAGGATTGTTAATTTGGGTATGGATTGCAACACATTTTCTGAAGTAAATAAGAAGTGTAGGAGATACAGGGTTAGTACCTGTTTGAATAAGCCTCAGATGGCTACAAACACTAGTTTTAAAGTGTATATTTTCCAACTCTCGTCACTTAGTCTTCTGTGCCTGCCTTTTTGCAGATGCACCTAATGATTACATTGTTCTGTTAAAACAAAAAAAAAAAAATTTTGGTCATTGAAGTAAAGGGCTCAAGGTGGACTCTTGCTCACCACAACCATCTGATTGCTTCTGTAAAAACTACCATTCAGTGTCTTCTGGGCTTTCTTGGGTCCTTTTTTTCTCCATCTTCTCCTGGTTGCTGCTTTAGGGAGAAGCCTCTAGGGCAGGGGTAGGGAACCTGCAGCCTCCAGGCCACATGTGGCCCTCCAGGTCCTCAAGTGTCACCCTTTGACTGCATCCAAACTTCACAGAATAAATTCCCTTAATAAAAGAATTTGTTCTTTGAAGTTCGGATTCAGTCAAAGGGCCACACTTGAGGATCTAGAGGGCCATGTGTGGCCTGGAGGCTACAGGTTCCCCACCCCTGGTCTAGCAAAACAGAAAGAGCAGCCTACTTAGGTAGAAGACTCATGTTAGCCTGAAATCCCTGGATTTTGGGAGCTCATATTGAGAGAGACAGAGAAAAAGACAGACAGAGATGGAGGGAGAGAGAGATAGAGAGATAGAGAGAGATAGATAGAGAGAGAGAGAGAGAGAGAGAGAGGACAGAGAAAGAGACAGAGAGAGAAAGAGACAGAGAGAGAGAGAGACAGAAAGACAGAGACAGAGAGACACAGACAGACAGAACCTCTTTATAGTATGAGAGGTTAACCTAGGGTCCATAAACTTGATTTCTTAAATATTTTGATAAAAATATTTGCCTTATTACATATTTTGATTTTAATATAATTGCTTTCCTTTGTAGTTCTATGCAATTTATTTTATGCATTTAAAACCATTATTCTGAGAAGGGGTCCATAGGCTTCACCAGAGTGCCAAAGGAGTCCATAAGGCACAAAAAGGTCCTTTATAGATATGGAGAGGTACAAAATGCTGCATCTACCCTATAAAATTCTTGTAGGAGCGTGTGATTTCTTATGCCTCTGCGACTTGGTCCTTTGCATAAGCCAGGAGCACTGCTTACCTCCTCCTGACCTCAATTTACATCTTTCCTTGGTGCTTAATGGAGAGTGAAAGAGTAAAAAAAAAAACTCATGAGGTACCTTAATCTCCCAAGCTGCTGCTGTACTGATAGTGTACTTGTTTGCTACAAAGTGGTAATAAAATGAAAGTTCTTTGACAGCAGGCAGTTTCCTTCTTTATATTTGTATACTCAGGGACTGGTACAATGCCCAGCATATAATAGATGCTTAATAAATACTTGTTGATTGATTAATAATTTGTTTTAGAATGCCAGATTCATCTTGGGGACCTATAGCTTAGTAAGGACATGGAAAATTTGAAGAGTATAATCACAAATCTGAGGGAAAAAAGGTCTATGAAATGGGGATTATCTAATAAATGAAGCTAGTTTAAAGAGTGTTAAATAGGACAAAGAACATAATTTTAAATGTGTATGTTCAGGTGATCAGATTCTGCACACTGAATCTCAATTTCCCCTTCACACCTGGGTAGTAATTATTGCTTTAGAGGAGAGGAACCTCCTCTTTTAATTTATCATCTCCTCTATTCTACCTCTCTAATTTTGTGCTATTTTAGTCCCTTAAAGGAGCAAATTGAGTTGACTGTTTCTAGTAGCTACATTTCTAGCTGTGGTATGGTGGTTATCAGTAGGATTCTTCTGTGTGTACAGAGAAAAGATCACTAGGCAGGATTGGAGCTAGAAAGAAGAAGGAACCAAATTTAGAATTTACTTTGTAAAATAGAGGCCTGGGTGCAGACCCCTATGGTTTCACGTCTGCCTGATTTCTGAACATACCAATCTATCAGGGGTAAAGTTATACACTATGGCTGATGCAAAGAGGACATGACTTTGTATAAAATACATGCAACAGAAAGTAGGATTGCTATGGTCCAAATACCCATGTTCCAGGTTATATAGTTCAGGTTAGTATTAATGTCAGCTTGCTTTTATATTTTTTACCACCTGCTTCTATCTTCACCTTAAAGGAACTAGAAAGTGGGCTCAACACTATTTTCTGGGATAAGAGTTCACCTTCTTATAATCATACACCATCTTATGTTCTCCTTGAACAAGAAGTTTCAAACTAAAGTCCACAGGTATTTGTGGATAGATTTTTGGGAGTCTATGAACTTTGATAGGAAAAAATAACTACATTTTTATTTTCACTCAACTCTTATTGAAATCTAGTAAGCATTTCCTTCAGTTATGAATTAAAAACAAAACAAAACATGATTCAGAGAATGGGTTCAAAGGCTTCGCCAGATTCCCAAGTGGTTCCATGGCCCTAAAAGGGTTAAGAACCCTGTTCTAGAAGCACTAGGAAGATGATATTATCAGGGAAGTCAGCTTGGGAATTATTCTAGGGAAGGCAGTGGAAATCATCCAAAGCCTTCCACTCTGATACCATTTCCTTTTCTTTGCTTTTCTTACCCAGTCCGCTCACTCTTCAGGCCCAAGGAGGAGAATGGATTACACTTTGCTCTCTTGTGGACAAAGAGACAGGAAACAGGTCAGTTTTTTTTTCTTTTCTTTGGGAAAGTATATCCTGAGAGGCATATATTCAGGCAGGGGTGTACTGGGTCCTTCTAGGGCTGGCTCTTGAGAGCCAACCATCAGTGTGAGCATTTGCACTTTGAAAATCAGTAAAGCTACACATTAGGCCTTGATTTGATGTGTTGTGGATTGTCTAAACTTAAGAAAATAATGGAAAAATGATAATAATGCAGATTAAACTTAAAAGTGAAATACATACACTCTTCCCCTCCAGGACAGCACATTGTTAAGTATTTACCAGCATACTCTTGTATGCAGAATATGATCATACACACATTCCTTTTTTTTCCTAGTGTATAAAAACACAAATTCACATTTATATCATACTTTAAGGCTTATTAAGCATTTTCCATGATCTTGCTTGATCCTTATAACTCTGTTATGGTAGGATAGGTATTATAACTGTGATGAATGAAAAGTCCAAATGACAGAGTTTCTGGGTAATTAGTAATAAATTTATTAATTAAGCTAGCTAATAATCAATAAATTGATGGCCAATGGTTTCTTTTGGTAACCAAAGACAAAGACATGAAGAGACTGGAAACTTTAATTACTTTTAGAAAAGTGTGTGCCTCTGACAGGTGAAAATCAATCCTGATTGGTGAACAATTAGTGAGGGAGTGGGCTAAAAGTTTTTAGCTCCTCCTGTTGAGCATATGGCTTGATCATGAGACTCAGCCCCCTCCAGAAATCTGGACCAAGGAATCCATCTCTACCCAGACCAATCTTGTTGGTTCTCTCCTTCATGAGCTGGATCACCTTAAACTCCAACTGAGGGTACAAGGACATGGACTTATTGCTTTGGGGAAGGGCTTCACCTAGATTAGATTCTGTTTACACTTCAAACAGAAGTGTAAGTCTCCTAGTTGCGTGGGGTCCTGCCAAAGATCCAGGATCATGTACCCTGAGGATTAGGGCAATCTCCTCTATTAGCCATGCCCTTCAGAGACTGGCTGACTGACTTATAGGGTCTGGTCCCTGAGTGAGGAAATAAAAAGTCTGGATCCAAATTAATAATAGATGATTAATGTAATAGAAAATAATAATTTCTCTCATGATCCCCCATTTAGTGATGAAAAAATAGATTTAGAGAAATAAAGGAATTTACCCAGTGTCTTGTAGCTGGTGAATGAAAGTGCTCGCATTCAAAACAGGGTTCTCTGGCACTAAATCAAATATTTCTTCTACTACATCAAGAGTTTAGTCATGAAAAGATGCTTCCTCCCTAGAGGAACTGAGTATTCACCCTTTGTCTTGTGACCTTCTGCTGGCCCAAGGTGCTGCAAAACTCAACTGACCCTACCTTGCTCCCTTTCCTGAGTTCTGTCACCAGGGGTGCTCTTGTAGGTCTTATAGACCCTCACCAGAAACCAGACTTTCTTTCCTTGAGTGACTGTACCCACATTTAGACTATCCCTTCTGTTACTTCCCTCCCCCTCTCTCCCCCAATTGTTTTTGTCCCAGGTAAAAATATTCCTATTTATGTGGTGGTAGTGGTGGTATTGGAGCTGGGGGTAGGGTAACATGAGAGGAGGTACAGTCAGTGGTGGAGGAGAATGACCAGAGATGCACTCACAATGCACATTTTTTTCACTACTTGATAATTTTGACTCATGGTTCTGTCTTGTCAGTTAGTCAATGAGTTTTTTTTTTTTTTAGCTCCTACAATGTGCCATGCACTGTCCAAAGTGCTGGGGATACAAAGAAAGGCAAAATTAACAGAGGGAAGGGAAGAGATGGAGAAGCCTTTTTGTAGAAGGTGGGATTTTAGTTGCAACTTAAAGGAAGCCAGGGAGGTCAGTTGTTGGAGTGGAAGAGAAAGAACTTCCAGGCATGGGAGACAGCCAGAGAAAATGTCTGGGGTTAAGATCTTGTCTGTGAAAGATCCTGGAGGCCAGTGTCACTGGATTGAAGACTATGTGTTAGAGAGTAAGGTGTAAGAAAACTGGAAAGGTAGGAGGGAACTAGGTTATGAAGGGCTTTGAATACCAAGCAGATTTGTATTTTTTTTTAATTTGAAACCTAGAAGCAATAGGGAGCCACTGGAGTTTATTGAATAGGTAGTCTTAAGGAATTCACAGTCTAGCGGAGGAAACAACGTGCAAACAACTATGTACCAACAAGAATCTGGCTAAAGGACATATCTACTTCACTTTCATTAGCAGCCAATGTTCCCTGGCTAATATATTACTATTTTTATTCCTTCTCTCCAAAATGAGAAGGTTAGAGTAGAAGCTTTATAAATCCTTTTCAGAACTAAACACATGATCCTACTGTCCTTTTTCTCAATGGAATGATGTTTCATTTTCCCATTTCTTGGTGTCGTCACAGATATCCAGTTGAGGAGGACCTTGGCTTTGGAACCTTGCAGTGTCGGGTGGAAGGCCACTACATTGGTCAGTTGGAAAAGGGACACTTGGTTTCAAGAGTTTTTGCCAACTTCCTTCTCTTTATACAGGCAGTGTGGTATGGTGAATATGGTGCTAGAATCAGAAGGATATGGGTTTGAATTCTGCTTGAGGCACTTACACTCTATGTGATGCTGGGAAAGTCACTTAATCTTTGTTAGTTTTAATTTCTTCATATGTAAAATGGGGAGGAGGCAGCTAGACTGCTCAGTGGATAGAGCACTAGGCCTGGAGTCAGGAAAATTCTATTGAGTTCAAATCCAGCCTTAGATACTTACTAACTGTATGACCCTGGACAAGTCACTTAACCTGTGGTTGCCTTAATCCACTGTAGAAAGAAATGGCAAATCATTCCAGTATCCTTGTCAAGAAGACCCTATGGTCCATGGGGTCACTAAGAGTCAGACACAACTCATTGACTGAACAACAACAAATAAAATGGGGATGATAGTAATAGTACCTACCTTGAAGAGTGGTTGTGAGGACCAAATGGAATATGTGTAAAGTACTTTACAAATCTTAAAGTGTTATGTAAATGTGGCTAGATGGTACAGTGGATAGAGTGCTGGGCCTGGAGACAGGAAGATCTGAGTTCAAATCTGGCCACAGACTAGCTGTGTGACCCTGGGCAAGTCACTTAACCTCTTAACTAATTAGCCTTAGTTTCCTTAACTTAAAATGGGGATAATAACACCTACTTTTTAGGGTTATTGTGAGGAATAAATGAGATAGTATTTGTAAAGCTCTTAACAGTACCCAACACACAGTAGGTGCTAAGTGCTAGCTATTGTTAATAATTTTCTGAGAGAAGACAGACTAAGAGAGTGTTACTTACTAGGGTGAGTCTTGCTTGTTCTTTTATTTTTTAGAGAGGGAGATGCTTATGGTCCTAATTAATCAATCTGCTTGTCTTTGCTATTTCTAGAAAAAATAGTGGTGTTTGCTGTTGGTGTTGTTGTTTCCAACTCTTTGTGATCCTATTTGGGGTTTTCTTGGCAAAGATACTGGAGTGGTTTGCCATTTCCTTCTCCAGTTCATTTTACAGATGAGGAAACTGAAGCAAACAAGGTTAAGTGACTTGCCCAGGGTCACACAGCTAGTAAGCATCTGAGGTCAGATTTGAACTCAGCAAGATGAGTCTTCCTGACTCTGGGCCCAGTGCTCTATCTACTGAGCCACCTAGCTGCTCTGGGAAAAGTTTAGGTTTGGGTATTGTTTTTCTGTCTTCTCAAGTACCTGAATCTAGGATAGTAGTTTCTAATTCTGCAATCTACTTTGGACTCCTGTACTAAATAACATTTTTTTTTCTGGTCAACAGGTTCACAGAATGTTAGCTTCTCCATATTTAATAAAGGAAAGTAAGTCTTGGGAAGCATGCAAACCTTTCTGTGTTTGGGTTACATGAGTTGCTTATGTTTTTGGTTTTCTATATTTCTTTTACACTTGTGTCCATAATTGGGAGATTTAGAAGAGCATTCAGAATTACTTTAGAGACACCATCCTATTCGTTGCAGGGACAAAATGGGGCTGAGGGATGAGGTGGCTGATGATGTATGGTCAGAACTGAAGAATGAGTTAGTGAGCAAGTAGAATTTACTTCAAGCTGACAATAGAAAGGAAGGATGGAGGCAAGAGAGTTGCTTCAAGGAGTCAGAACATGGCAATCTCCAAATAAAGGGTGAAGGAAGCAGTAAGATCTGAAATTTCAAGGAAGCTTTGAGACCCAGATAAGAAATAATCTTTCTCTGTTGCAGTTGGGGCCAGATGGGTCCAGGGGGGCTTTCTTATCTATATATGATCTGCCTCTCCAAAACATCCACCCATTGCCTCTGGTTCTGCCTTCTGGGGTCCATTAGAACAAATCTAGTCCCTATTCCTTGTATAGATCCTTCACATACTTGAAGATGACTATCATGCCTCCTCCCTCAAGTCTTCCCTTCTCCAGGCTTCACATAACAAGTTCTTTCAGCTAGGGTGCTATATAAATGCTCTTTTAAAATTTCATTTCAAAACTCGAGTTCATTTTACTTTCCTTACTAAGACTGGAAATGCCCCCAAATGAAGTAGAGTTTTTTTGATCAAGGAAAAGAGCAATCTGTATAATTCAATGGAAGCTTTGGTCCCTCTGCTAACTACACTATCTTCTTTTGAAGGTCAACTGTACACAAAGATGCATGGCTGATCAGTGCTAAACAGGACCTTTTCTTGTATCAGACTTACTCAGGTATGACCTTACTTCATATATTTGATCCTCCACACCTGCTTTTACATCTCACCCAAGATCTGGACCCTCCCATCCTTTGTCCCATCTATTCATCTCACCATTGGGTGGTGAATGTGTGCCTTAGTGTGTTGTGGATGTAAATATGAATAGAATTTTTATGAGTGGGACCATGTGACTATATTGGGATCACAGATTCAGAGAAGACCTGAGAAATTATCTAGTCCAGCCCCCTCATTTTAACAGTTGATGGAGGACCTTGATATTGTTGGCATCTATGAGTTAAATGTAGATAAGATGTTTAATATGATTGTGCATGTATAGCCTATATCAGCCTACTGGGGAAGGAGGGAGAGGAGAGAGGGAGGAAGAAAAAAATTTGGAACTCAAAATCTTATAAACATGAATGTTGAAAACTATCTTTACATGTAATTGGAAAAAAATACTATTAAATGGGGAAAAATTTAAATAAAAATGTTAAAAATTGGGAAAAAACAAAGATAAGAATTAGTGAAGGTTTCTGGAAAAGTTATATTTTGTCTTTTTCTCTCCCTGCCCCGCCCCCCCCAGTGTACTGGGGAAAAAGAAGAGCTTAACCACCCAATAGCCCATTTTTCTTTTACTTTAGTTATACTTTAGTTATACTTTCAACAACTGATTTATTAATCTAGACTTTGAGCTCTTGCATTGCCACCTGGTGGCTAAATACCCTATGTCCCCTATAAATGCTGAAAGTTGGAAAATCACTTTTTAAAACTATGAACTCATAGGCTAGTTTACCTATTCGACGCTTGCAATAGAACCAACAAATAATCTTATAGCCTTTTCCTAAAGACCTGCAGCGTCCTTACTACATTCACTACACTTTGGGCTAACTGTAATTGTTAGGAAATTTCTTTTCTTTTCTTTGTTTTTTTTTTCCTTTTCTTTATTTTCTTTTCTCTTCCTTTTCTTTTTTCCTTTTTCTTTCCCTTCCCCTTCCCCTTTTAGTTTCCTTTCCCCCTCCCCTCCTCTCCTCTCCTTTCCCTTTCCTTCCTCCCTCCCTCCCTTCCTCCCTTCTTTTCTCCCTCCCTTCGTCCATTCTTTTCTTCCTCCCTCCCTCCCTTCCTTCCTACTTTCCTTCCTTACTTTCCTTTTTCCTTCCCTCCTTTTACCCTTTGAAAAGGTTGGCAATGGGCCTCTATAAATTTTGCTAGACTGACTCGCAGACAATGGACTTTATCTCTGGACTCATACCCAGGCTTTTCATATGGTTAGGATCTCCTACAGCTTGTACTTAACTGACATCACCTTGAGAATCCAGGGACAAGAGTCAGTGTTATGCTGAGGCACTGGAGTTTGATTGGACTCAGGACCACTATAATTGCTATCTTTATTTGTAGGAGATTTTCCAATTTTCCAAGTGACTTCATAGATTAATAGTCATAAGATCCAAAGGTAGGCATCACCTTAGAATCTAATCTTGTCTCCAAGGCCCAGGAAGGGAGAGAGATTTTCCTAAAGTCACACATAATATTTGAGAGCTATGGACAGGTTCAGTTATGTCTAAATTACTTCTTCAAGTTGCTCTTGTGTAGAAAGACCTTGTCTTCAAAAGGACTTTGTTAAAATGAAAATATTTAGAGGGCTTTAAAAAAAACATCTTGTAATATCTGAACTTTTGCAATATCCTCATTTATGTTTCTCCATTCCTATGCCACTTTATATTATACATCTGAGTAGTATATTTCCTTTATTTTTAATTTAATTAAATTTTAATTTTAAAATTAAATTAATTTAAATTGAATTAAACTTTCAAAGAGGAGAAAGAAAAAAACCTCTTTTGCTTGTCTTCAGAAGTACAAATCAGGAAAGAGATGGGCATCTTGATGGTACCTATAAAGAGTGCTTACATAGAACTGCTTTTTGCTATCAGAGTCCCAAGTTGCTGTGTAGAAATCATGGGATAGAATCATAGATTCAGAGCCGGAAAGGATCTTGGTGATCATTTATTGTCATCCTCCCTACTCTAATTTTTGTTGTTGTTGCTGTTGAATCATTTCAGTTATGTCCGACTATCTATGACCCCATTTGGGGTTTTCTTGGCAAAGATACTAGAGTGGCTTTGCCATTTCCTTCTTCAGCTCATTTTACAGATGAGGAAACTGAGGCAAACAGAGTTAAGTGACTTGCCCAGGGTTACATAGCTAGTAAAGTCTGAAGCCAGATTTGAACATAGGTCCTCCTGACTCCAGGCCTGGTGTTCTATACTGTGCCACCTAGCTGCCCTCTAGTTTAATTGAGGAAACTGATACCTAGGGAAGATGTGGGTTGATTGAGGTCATATAAGTAACAAGGAGCTGTACTGGGATTTGAACCTAGGTCATAGGAGTTTATCATCATAGATTTGGAGTTGGAAGTGAATCTAGTTTTTAGCTTGTCCAGCTGCATTTTTATAGATGAAGAAACAAGCCCAGTGAGCTAGTGACATGCCCAAGGTCTTCTTATTCCTCTTATTACAAATTCAGTGCTCTGTCTGCTGTTCCTAATCCTTTGTCCAATTTCCTCCATTTCTCCTGGTTTTCTCTTTGCCTTTCCATGTTTCTCTTCTTTCTCTATGTCTGTTTGGAAATGGCTTTAAATGGAGAGAGTCTGCTTTCCCCAGAGTCATTGCTGTGCCAACTCTTTTGATTTCCAAACACATTGGGGTAATCCAGATCATGAAGCTGACTTTTTATTTCTTCTGTAGAAATACTGTCTGTGTTTCCAGCAACTGGGAGCCTGGGTGGAGGAACAGACATCACCATCACAGGAAACTTCTTTGATTTTCCTGCCCAGGTTACTGTTGCAGGTAGCTAAGATACAGTAATTGTCTTTCACTGTAGTGCTGTTTTGGGGCTGGTAATATTTTTTTCTCCTTTTGATTGGTGGGAATTCAGTCTCACAAATTTCTTGAGCGTCTGTGTGTAAAGGACTTTGCTAGGAGTTGGGGAGATTAAAAAGATAAATATAATTCCTCCCTGCCTTTAAAAAGCTTATGGTTCAGTAGAGGAGATTATAGGGACAGGGATTGGACCTGAGATTTCACTGACATAGGAAACTTTGCAATGAGGAAACTTCCTCTATAAGTGCAGGTCAGAACCTTAGTGGAAATTTATAGTTTTATGATATCAGATTGCTTACCATCTAAGGCAGGGGTGGAGGGGAGGAAGAGAGAAACAGAATTTTGAAGTCAAAAAGTTAAAAAAAATGTTAAAAACATTTTAACATTAATTGAAGGAAAATAAAATATTGTAAAATGAAAAAAAAGAAATTTATATTTTTAATGAAGTACCTAGAATACTGGTGTCAAACTCAAATTGAAACAAGGGCCACTAGACTGTATATAAGGACCCTTGCAGGCCTCATATTGACTTAGAAAACCACATGTTAAAATTATCTATATTTTATTGTTTTTTATTGTTTTGTTCGTTAAATATTTCCCACTTACATTTTAATCTGATTTGGGCCACATTCAAGAGTGTTGTTAACCATATGTTTGATACCTTTGTCCTAGAGTGCTGAGAAATAAAGTGATTTGTCCAGGCGTGATGTATGAAAAGTCTGAAAGATATAATTTCTGGGTAGCTAATGGTCATTTTATTAATTATGATTAGTGAATAATTAAGAAAATGTGGTCAATGGCTTTCTCTTGTAAACCAAAAATCTTTAATGCCTTTGGAAGAATAGATGTTCCAAACAGGTGGAAATCAACTCTTTTTGGTTAACAATTACTGAGAGAATGAGTATTATAATAAGAGGTAGGCTTATTCTAATAAGGGGTTGGTGGATGTGACTTTGATTTTGTCACTCTTACTCATCTCTACCAAGACCACCCCTGTCTTGGGCAATCTAGACAAAGGGATCTACCTTTACCCAAGTCACTTATGTTCTAGTTGGGTGAGATCTCACCCAAGACTGAGGAGAATGTTAACCCAATCTTATCTATCAGTCATGTCCTTCACAAGAACTGGACTTTGAATAAAGAAATAGAAAAGGAAAAATCCTAAATCCCCTAATACTAATTGATTATTAATATAAGAGAAAAATAATCGTTTCTTTCACCGGGATTGTCACACAGCCAACATGTACCAATAGGTGAGACTTGAATTCAGGTGATCCTGGCCCTGAGGCCAACTGCCTATCCACTATGCCACACTCTCTTTGCAGGAGAGGAGATGGGGCCTATACAAATACAAGATAGAATGTGGAAGTTCAATACTTGTACATATACAAAGAGCTATGTGAATACAGAACAAGTGGGAAAGATGATTTCAATCTGAGAGGTTTGAGAAAGGATCATAGAATCTTAGATTTAGAACTGCAAAAGAATTTAGAGTTCACCTAACCCAACCTTTCCACCTCACAGAGATGGAAAATAGGGTCCAAAGAATTTAGGTAACTGAACCACAATCTCACAGGTAGTAAATAGTAGAATCATGATTTTAAGCCAGGTCCTTGACTCCAAATCCAGTCCTTTCCCCCTGGGCCACCTTGTTTATAGAAGAGAAGGTCTTTAAACATGACTTTAAAAATTGGATATGAATTTGACAAGAGAAGATGGTTGAAGTAGGCAACCTTTGAGCAAAGGTATGAAGGCAGGATGATGTAGGAAAGTGCTTTGGGGATAGCTATTTCTTTGTGTCTCTTCCCTTTTTGATGATGTGGTGACTTCTTCCCCTCCCACCAATGTTTCACCAACTCAGCATAGTATAGTAGAAGGAACACCTGGACAGGAGTCAAGAAACTTGGGTTCTAGTCTTGGCTCTGCCTGGAAAATAGGGGAGCTAAAGTAAAGGATCTCTGGGGTAATCATAATACTTAACATTTGTATAGTGCTTACTATGCGCAAAGCGCTTTACAATTATAGTCTCATTTGATCTTCACAACAACCCTAGGAGGTAGGTACTATTATTATCCCCATTTTACAGATGAGGAAATTGATGCCCAGGGAGATTAAGCAACTCAACAAAGGTTACCCAGATAGTAAATAGCCAAGGTGAGATTTGAACCCAGTCCCATTGACTCCAGAACCTAAGCTCAAGATGGCTCTTTCCAGTTATTGTCTATTTCAGATTTTTTGACTTATCCTGTTCTTCTCTCATGTTGTTATTAGACATCCCATGTGAAATCAAATACATCTCTCCAAGGAAGATTGAGTGTACCACTGGGCCCCTGAAGCAGGGTACAAAGCTCACATCACCTCAACCAGGTAAGGAAGCACCAGTGTACTTCTTGCTATTTTCTTTAGGCAAGGGACAGGGTAAGGAGAGTATTTGAACTCTTTTGAGTTAAATTCTCAGCCACAAACTCAGCAGATAATTAACTCAGATAACTAGCACTATGCTTATGAAGCCAAGGTCCTGAGCATGAATTCTAAGTTGGACAGCTAGCTTTGATTTGTTCCACAGCTTCAAACTATGTCCCTAATCTTGGCCAGCCATCTTATTAACTCACGTGATTGTTTACTAGAGAAAAAGAGAGACAATCCATCACAGCTACTGGAGATACAACTCCCAGGGCATGCCCTACTGATGGTGGCTAAGCAGTCTCAAATTTATCTACAAAGAATGCTATGTTATTTTGTTGTTTAGTCATTTTTCAGTCACAGTGTGACCCCATTTGGGGTTTTCTTGGTAAAGATACCAGAGTGGTTTGCCATTTCTTTCTCTAGCTCATTTTACAGGTGAAGAAACTGAGGCAAACAGAGTTAAGTGACTTGCCCAGGGTCACACAGCTAGTAAGTGTCTGAGGCCGTATTTGAATTCATGAAGATGAGTCTTCCTGACTCCAGGTTCAGCACTCTATCCACTGTGCTGCTTAGCTACCCTCATCTATGTTAATGGACAATAATAATAGCTCATATTTTTAGTGCTTTAAGGGTTGCAAAGTGTTTTGCCTATGTTGCCTTATTTGATTAATAACAGCTTGCATTTATATATAGCTTACTATATGCTAGGCACTGTACTAAACACTTTGCAATTATTATTTGATTCTCACAACTATCCTATGATGTAGGTGCTATTTTTATCCCCATTTTACAGATAAAGAAACTGAGGCAAACAGAGATTTAATTGCTCAAGGTCACACAACCAGTCTGAGGCTGGATTTAATTCTCAACAAAACCCTACCAGAGAGGTGCTACTATCATCCCCACTTTTCAGATGAGGAAACTGATCCTCAGAGACTTTAAATGACTCTATTAGAATTATATAGCTGAGAATCATAGGATCATAACTTTAGATTTAGATGGAATATCAGAGGCTTTCTAGTCTGTCCCATTTCTTTTGCAGATGAAGAAACCAAAGCCTAGGAAAGATAAAGGATTTACCCAAGGTCATTTATGTAGTAAGCATCTAAGGCGGGATTTGAACTGGTCCCCAGACTCCAGGGCCAATGCACTACACCACACTGCCTCTTTATGAGTGTCTGAGGAAGTTTTCCCCACTCCAAGTCCTGCAGAAAGTAACAAATGCCTCATTAGTTATAGACAAAGCCTATTAGAACTTAGAGATTGGAGCACAAGGAAGGTCACTCAAATATCTTTCCTTCTCTGTTATGGGCAGCTGTTCTCTGCCTTGAAATGACTTTACCATCAGTTTATTGTAAATGAAACAGGCAAAAGCTGGAGAGGAGAATATAGTCTGTTCCACCACTGGCCTCAAGAGTCTTTAAAATCCACCCTCTCAGGGCTCTGAGATGAAAAGGACAAAACTTTTCAAGGTGTGTCAAACACTGCTGGAGCTCACGCTGTTTCCCTTTAGGAACAACAGGCTCAGCTGTAGTTAGAAACTGAGGGCAGGTGGCATGTCACCTGCCCCTGGATCCAGGGGAGAAACCCTTGGATTCCACATCAGGGAACTGACTGCGGAGAGGCTTTCTTTTATAGTTAACAACTGGCGGGAGCTGTCTTCTCCAGAGTGCCAAGCACTTAGAGGAAATTGGCCCCGCAGGAGAAGACACCTTTCTAAGGAAAGGCCACTCAGGTGTGGAAATGGCTGCAAAGCTCCTGCTCAGGGATTCCCTGGGGCCCAATTCTTCTGTCTCGACTCTGATGAAGTTCCCATCTAAGGAAAGGAAACCACTGAAACGAGTGATTGAAAGCAACAAGTCTTGCTTGCATAAGGAAAGAGTACTGGGTCCCTCTGTAAGCAAGTAATCCCCGTGCTGGCGGCTCGGGTAACAGTGGTGTGATATGCTGAATGCAGCTGTTGAGAGGACAAGTTGACAATGTCCCTTGCCTCAGCAGGGGTCTGCGTAGCTCCTTTGTGGGAGGACAAAACACTTTTCTTAAAGCAGATGTTCTTAACTTTTTTTTTTTTTTCATGTTGGTCCATTTTGGCAGTCTGGTGAAGTCTATGGACCCTTTCTCATATACTGTTTTTAATCCAATCCAATCCAATAAACATTTATTAAGGGCCTACTACATGCCAGTCACTGTGCTAAGTGCTTTTTAAAGACATAAAATAAAATGAAATATAAAGGAAATCAATTATATATATGATATGATATAAAGATATATTATACATATGATTTAATATATAAACATCAATCTATGTTTTATATATGTATATATATACCAAAAATATATATTCTTTTCAAAGAAAAGAAATACTAAACCCTTATAAATGTGATAGATAGATAAATGTATCTATCTCATATATAAGGGTTTTGTGTTCCTTTTTTTTTTTTTAATTCAGACCCCAAGTTAAGAATCCTTGATTAGAAGTTGCCTTCATAGTAGTGCCCTCCTACTTGCCACCCCTCTCGGCCTTAGGTGGTGCGTGTAATCATGTTTTATTCATTTTTAAAGCTATTTTCTTGGTTGATAATGCTTATCTGAGCATGTTCCCCTCAAAACATTCTCTCTCTCTTTTTCTCTCCCTCTCTCTCCCTCTCTCTCTCTGAACTCCAATGACTCTCTGTTACCTCAAGGATCAAATATGAAAGCCCCTGGTAGTGTATAAAACCCTTCATAACCTGTGTCTGTGCCCCCTCCCCCATACCTTTCCAGTCTTCTTATACCTTCGCTCAACCCCATATACTCTGAGATTCAGTGACACTGGCTTCCTTGCAGTTCCGCAAACAAGACACTCCATCTCCTGAATAGTCGTTTTTACTGGTTTTCTCTCATGCCTGAAATGTTCTCCCTTTTCCTCTCTGCTTCTTGACTCCCCTGGTTTCCTTCAAGTCCCAGCTAAAATCCCATCTTCAACAGGAAGCCTTTCCTGATCCCCCTTAATTCTGGCATCTTCACTCTGTTGACTATTTCTTACTTTTCCTGGATATAGCTTGTTTGTACAAAGCTGTTTGCATGTTGTCTTTCCCCCATTAGACTGTGAACTCTTGAGAGCAGAGACTGTCTTTTGCTTTTGTTTGTAATCCCAGTGCCTTAGCTCAGTGCCTCAAACCTAATATATGCTTAATACATGGCAACTAACTTTTTGCCAATGTGCAATTTGTCCCTGGAACACCTAAAAACTAAACGCAAGTAGCAAAAGTATGCATCATGTCTCTTTGCTCGGATGTGCATTTTTTAAACATGTTTTCCCCCAATTACATGTAAATACAATTTAAAACATTTTTTAAAAAAGTTTTGAATTCCAAATTCTCTCCCTTCCTCCCCTCCCTGAGACAGCAAACAACCTGATAGAAGTTATATGTGTATAATCATGTAAAATATTAGGTATTTTGTTCAAGAAGACTCAAATAAAAAAAGGAAGGATAAAAGAAAGAAGGAAGGAAGGAAGAAAGAAAGAAGGAAAAGAAAGAAAGAAGGAAGGAAGGAAAGAAGGCAAGGAAGAAAGAAAAAAAGGTGAAAAATGGTATGCTTTAGTTTGTATTAAGACAACATCAGTTCTTTGGAGGTGGATAGCATTTTTTCCTTTGGGATTGTCTTGGATCATTGTATTGCTAAGAATAGCTAAGATATTCACAGTTCTTTACTGTACAGTGTTGCTGTTACTGTACACAGTGTTCTGGTTCTACTCACTTCACTTTACATCACTTCATGTAAGTCTTTTGGATCTGCAATCTTACAGAGAAAGTTTTTGCATCAAGTGTGTTCAGGGGGTTGCCGGGTCATCCAGAGGAGGGGAGATTATCTTAAGGAATCCTCAGGTGGAAGGGACTCCTCAAAACTGTAAGCAACCTTCATGTACATCAGGTCCAAGCCACACCCAATCATTAATCCCTTCTACAACATACATAAGAAGTGATCATCCCTATTTTACTTAGAGACGACCACTTGGGGGAACATATTGTCTACTGAGAAAGTCCACGTTAGCCTGGGGCAGCTCTATATGGGAGGAAGTTTTTCTCTACAAACTTGACCAACCTAGATATGCCCCTACAACTTCTGTCTGTTGCTCCTAGCTTTATCCCTTGGGGCCAAGCAGAACAAGCTTAATCCCTCTTCCCTATGACAGCCTTTTAATCCTGGAATTTGAGCCAAGCCAACAAGCATTTATTAAGTACCTATTTATGCCAGGTACTGTGCTAAGTGTGAGGGTTGAAGTCTCTTCCAACTCTTCCTGACCTATTTGGGATTTTCTTGGCAAAGACACTGTAGTGGTTTGCCATTTCCTTCTGCAGCTCATTTTTACAGATGAGGAACTGAAACAAACAGGGTTAAGTGACTTGGCCAGGGTCACACAGTTAGTAAGTGCCTGATGCCAAATTTGAACTGAGGAAGATGAGTCTTTCTGATTCTAGGCTCCCAACTCTGTCTGCTGCACCACCTAGCTGTTAGAGATGCAAAGAAAGGCAAAAATAGTCCCTGGTCTCCCGGAGTTCACAATCTAATGGGGGAGTTAACTCACCTATCATGTCACCTTCTTCAGCCTTACATTCCCAGTTACAGCTTTAACATTCTAAATTAGTTTCCTTGCAAATTCTACCCATTGCTTCCCATTTTGTCTTCCTGTGTCAAGCAGAGAAACTGAATCATTTTGTAGCATTTGTTGCTGAGTCATTTCAGTCACGTTTGACTCTTTATGACCCCATCTAGCTTCCATAGCATAGTGCCATGGAAAAAGCACTGGATTGGCATTAGAGGATCTAGGTTCAAATACCAGTTTTTCCACCCTCATTACTCATGTCACATTGGGCAAGTAACTTAACCTCTGGGCCTCATTTATCCCCATGTGCAGGGAAATGAAAGACTGCCTTTAAAGTCCCTTCTAACTCTAAATATTTATGTGAATCGACTATCCTGTAACCACCCTTTAAATACATGAAAACAGTTATCATGTTCCTCCCAAATCTTCTCATTCCCGATAAGCATGTTCACTCCCCTCATTCAGTCAGTCCTCATATGACATTATCTCAAGGATCTTACCAAACTGGTTGCCTTTGTCTGGATATCCACCAGCTTATGAAGTCCTGCCTAAAATATGGTGCCAACAAATGGATATAACATTACAGATATGTTCTAACCAGGTCAGAGGACAGAGGGATGACACCTCCTATTCCTGGACACTGTGCCTCTCGATGCTGCCCCAGATTGCTTTGGCATTTATGGCTGTTATATTACACTGTTGAGTCATATCAAGCTTGTAGTTCAGTAAAACCCTTAGATATATTTAAAGATGACCTGCTCTCTTGTACTTGTGAAGTTGGCTTCTTGCCTCTAGATAAGGATGTTGACTAACTACAAGTAGTTCCCCCATCAAAAATAGCCATACATTTGTTTCCCAACTAGAATTTCCTCCCAGTATGTGACTATATTTGATAGCCTCTTTTCCAAATGTCCATTTCTTATTTTAGTCTCATGTTATTAAACCCTAACAAGTGTTTCTTTCCATGCACATTATCTCCATTCCTTGGTTCTCTGCCCTTTTCTTCCACTCAGAAGTGACCCTTTAGAGGAATTTTCTATTCCGCTCAAAATAAACCTTCTAATTAATACTCTTCAACTACTCACTCTAGCCTAGATGCTACATTCTACATTAGGCAGCCCGTTTGGCCTCAAACATCTTTGCCTGATCCACAGACCCGCTCCTACCAACTACATATCCTGAGTTTCAGCTGTCTCATCTCAGTCTCTCTCTTCATTCCTCTCACATTGTGTTGTTGATGGCAAGTTGCTATTAGCAACAAATTACAAATGAGTGAATGAGCAAGCATTTATTACTAAGCTTCTGTAGTGTGGGGCAGCTAGCTGGCAAAGTGTATAGAGCGCTGGACTTGGATTCAGGACATCTCATCTTCATGAATTCATATCCAGTCTCAGACACTTACTAGCTGTGTGACCCTGGGCAAGAAACTTAACCCTGTTTGCCTCAGTTTCCTCATCTGTAAAATGAGCTGGAGAAAGAAACTGCCAAGGAAACCCAAAAAAAGGGGTCATGCAGAGTTTGACATGACTGAAACAATCGAACAGTAACAAACCTAGAATGTTCCAGGCATTGTGCTGGGTATTTGGGAATACAAATTTTGTCCACAAGGAACTTACCGGAAGAGATGGAATGTAGGATCATAGCATCATAAATTTGGAATTAAAAGGGACCTAGAGGTCACCTAGTCTAACTCTTTTTTATTGTTGAGGAGATTGAGACCCAGAGAGATTAAATGACTTGCCTAAGGTCACACAGATTTGTTAACTAACTAGCAGAGCCAGGCATCTAACTGGATTCTCTAACTCCCAAACCAATGATCTTTCAGAAAGGAAGTCATAGAGATTGTGAGTGTAGCCACAGGGCAATCAATTATCATCCCTTTCCAATGGCAATGGTTGCATTGATTTAATTATTGTTCTCAGACAAAGGGCAAGGGATGGAAAGGGATTGAATTTTTTAATGTAATGCCTATCTACAGTGACAGGGCAGATGGCAAAATACCCAGATTGAGGAGCACATGGCTTCCACGGTTTTCTGGTGGATGGGTAGATTGGATGGAAAGCATGCTCAGCATCCAGCTATATATGGTAGATTAGATGAGTTTTCATTTATTCAGCAGCCATGATAGTTTAGTCTTAAGGCAGAGAGCCAAAGATGAGTGAATTAATTCTCCCAGGTTGGCTGGGTAATAGGGGGCTTGGTTTCTGGAGCGAGACGTTTCTGTTCTTGGTGGTGAGAAAAGGTTGTTGTAGCAGAACATACTGCAAGATGCTTGCCCTGGATAGGCTGTAATTTCCTTTTAGATGTCTGTATAGGGACAAGAGGAAAAAAAGTCTCAAAAATAGGCTCCAGATAGTAGAACAGAATGGAAAAGTACTGGGACTAAAATCAGGAAAATCAGAGTTTCTGCTTTGGAAGAGCTCAAATTCTAATTTGGGGAGACAACGTATATAGGAGAGTTCAGCTACATGGAAGATAGAAAGGCCCAGGGTTCCTTAGGATTTAACAGTGGGCAGATGGCAAGGCTGAGGGGTCATTAGGGTTCTAGTGGGATCCCTGTAAGCAGGGAGAAGAGTGGGACCACTGGGGAAGGTTCCATAAGTCTGGTGGCCTCTGGCCTCTGGTGCCTTCTGGCTGTCTCTGATTGGATGGGGTTTAGGCTTTAAAAATAATTTAATAATAACCTTTCTTTCTATTTAACTGTTGGCTTTATGGTAGATTCCATTGACCTTCAGTTTAGAGTCTAAAGGCTTTTGATTCTTTTAATGGCATTTATCTTACAGGCAATCGAGGACTTCTCTTTGAAGCTGGAGATGTTCAGGAGGGCCTAGATCTCACCAACACCACCCCTGGCTACAGATGGCAGATTGTTCCCAATGCTAGCTCTCCATTTGGATTCCGGTCAGAGGCAGGGCAACATTTCAGGTATGAGATAGATTTTGGGAAAAGATGGGGGAGCCATGACATTACAAGCAAGAAACTTGAAGTGAGAAAACAAAATGTATTTCCATTTAAGGGGAGGGTAAGTGAGATTTTAAAAGCATCATTTTGTTTGTAAAGCTATTTATTTACCTGATAAGGATTGCCTCAGTGCCACATGGCCTTGGGTATACTGATTAGTCACTAGTTAGGGCTGTGTTGCAGCTGGCTCCTACTGGAAGACATGATAATTATTAAATTTTCAATGGGAACATGTACACTTTGGAAATCAGCAAATTCTACAAATCAGGACTTAATTCATTATTTTGTTGATCATTTTGACTTAAGGTGGAGAAATTGTTAACAAAAATGCAGATTAAACTGAAAACTGTTATACCATACATTTCCCCCCCTCAGCACACCATAGCATTAGCTAGTTGAATGGCTATAGAATTTAGTCTCTTAGGCTAGGGGCTGCCACCCTTTTTGTGGCTGAGGACCTTCTTGATGTCAACATTTCATGGACTAACACAGCATTGTAGCTAGATTATTAATATCTGTCCTTAAGAGAGAGCGTGATGCTGTGGATAGGGCACTAGAGCTGGTCTTGAGAACCTGGACTCAAATCTCATCTTAATGACTAATTATGTGACCCTGGGCAAATTTCTTAACCTGGCCTCCATGGACTTGTTTGGTTAATGAAAAATATATTTTGATGTCTGCATTTTAATATAATTGGTTCCCTTTGTAATCCTATGTATTTTATTTTGTGCCTGAGAAAGGGGTCTATGGATTTCATTGGACTAAGGTTTTACTAGCCTGTCAGAGAATGTGACATGAAAAAAAGATTAAAAATCTCAGACATAACCTCTCTATGTCCCCCCATGCCCAAATCTGGGCTTTTTCTTTTGCTGTGATACAGTAGTCATGTTCATTCCTACACCTGTTAGCCCCAAATGTTTTAGTTCAGTGTGGCATGTGAAATCAAACTGGTGCGTGGTCAGTGGTTGGGAACACAATGAGGTCATTTCAGAAACAACAATTTTCAAATTCAACATTTAAATAAGTGAATATTATGGGGAGACAATGTGCTACAGCAGAAAGAAAGCTGGCTCTAGAGTTGGAGAACCTGAATTCCAATGCCACCTATGACACGCAACTTTTTATTTCTGTGTGCTTGGGCAAGTCATATAACCTCCTCTGGCCTCAGTCCTTATCTATGTGGTGTGGAGGTCGGCCTAGATGGCCTCTGACGTTATTGGTTAAAAAAAAAAAGGCACTGTGATAGGTGCTGGGGTTATGAATACAGAAACAAAAAAGTAGCTCTGCCCTCAAGGACATTACATTCTACTTGGGGGAGGGGTACAAAATGTACATGGAGAGGTAAATGCAAAGTCATTTGAGAAGGGAGAGAATCCTAAAATTTGAGTAGATCAGGAAATCGATCAATAAGTTTTGATTAAGCACCAGGTTAGCCACTGTGCTAAATTCTGGGGATACAAAGAAAAGCAAAAACCAACATCTGGTCTTAAGGAGCTCATGGTAAGATGGTTCCTTCCATCAAGGAATGTGTTCAAATAAAAGAGACTATATCTATATGTACACACAGAAATCAATAAATAATCAATACATGAAAGATAAACATAGAATAGATGGAAAGTAACCTTAGAGGGAATGACACTAGCTTCTGGGAGAAGCAGGAAAGGCCTCCTGGAGGAGATGTTTCTTGAGCTGATTCTTGAAGGAGGTTGAGGATTCTAAGACTAATTGTTTTGGATAGAGAGTATTCCAGGCATAAAGAACAGCCCCTGCCGAGGCGCAGAGATGAAAGACAGAGACTGAGTCTCAAGTATGAGAAACGATAGGTAAATCGGTACGGCTGGATCATAGAGTGAATGGAGGGCAGCCATGTAGGAATACTGGAAAGGTAGGAAGGAGCCAGTTTGTAAGGAATTTATCCTGGGGATGCTTCATAAAGAAGCTCCAGCTGAGCTTGTAAGGAAGATAAACGTTCTGAGAGGTAGGGACATGGAGGGAATGTATTCCAGGCATGGGAAGTGAGGTTGGGTGTATTGGGGGTGGGTGTTGTGCAGTTTGTGTGAATGCATATGCTTCTAACATAGGATCATAGATTTGGAACAGGAAGGCCCTTATTTACAGGTTATCAATCTCCAATCTTTCTCTTTCTGTCTGTCTGTCTGTCTGTCTGTCTCTGCTGTCTGTCTGTCTCTGTCTCTCTCTCTCTGTCTCTTTCTCTCTCTCTGTCTCTCTGTCTCTGTCTCTGTCTCTCTCTCTCTCTCTCTGTCTCTCTCTCCAATACAAGGGAAGAGAAGATCAGGAATGGACTCTTAGGTGCTGTAGAGGGTGAAGAATTGAAATTTCTGGGATTGAAATTTCCTGGGTCTTGTCCTGAGCAAGGTTCCAATTTGAGAAGGGCAATGAGGGTAAGGGATGAATGGCAGAAGATGCCAGCCTGGCAACAGTAGTTACAGGAAAGGCACAAGAGTTCCAGATGGGGGGAGAACTCAACAAGTCTTTATGATTCCAAGCATACATTTAGACATTGTCATATGCACATAATCAAGTTTCACATGCCTCATATGCCCGGCTTCCAGTGTCTCTCTCCCAAGTACTACAAAATAGAGTAATGAGGTATTGGATAGGACATTTGACTTGGAGTCAGGAAGTTTTGAGTTCAATTCCCACCTCACTTACTAGCTGTGTGACTCTGGAATAGTCTTTTAAATTCTCTGTGCCTCAGTTTCATCATCTGTAAAATGAGGGAGTTATACTCAATGGCTTCTAAGGCCCTTTTCCAATTTAAAGCTAGGTTTTTGTTATGTTAGGCTTAAAGTCTGGTGGGGTATATTTAAGGGTCCAAGTCCATAATCATTCTGTTCTTGTAACATATGAATGACTCATGATTATACCCCCAGTTAGAGAAAGAAAACTCTCTAGCTATGGGGTGGGTGGTTGGGATCTCAGTTCTTTGTTGGCAAAAGTCACTCTCTCTATGTGGCTCTCAGAACTGTCATATACCTTTGTGCCATAAGCAAAGAGACATAAGGAAATGCCAAGGGTAGGATCAACCACAGGTACTTGTGAAAAATCAGATTAGGTCAATTAGATATGGTCTTAAAAAAATAGAAAAAAAAAACACCCTTATAAACAAGTGCCCTTCTTATTTAGCTGATGGAAGACAGAGGAAGTGGATAAAGACCATAAGTTCCTCTCTATCTGTTTTTTAATTCAAGTATTCCAGCCACCTGGGTGAGTGATCCTGATAAAAACAGTCTTCTCCATTTAACTTTTTTCACTCATGCTCCCTGCAGGCATATGTTTGAAGAGAGGGTCTGAATCATATTTCCATAAGTACTGTCCTGATCTTACTCCCAGTATGTGAGTGTGTAAGGGATAAAGAGTGGAGGATGGTGTGTGTGGGGAAACCCTACCATCTCCATCCTTTCCCTTCATTCTCTCTCCTTCTTTGTCACAGGAGACAAATAAAATAGTCTGTGAAGGTCCAGACTATTCTTAGCCCATCTATAGGAGCAGTTATATTGTGGTGCCATTAAAAATACTCAAACTGGACTCAGTTGTACCTGGCATGAGCAGCCAGTGAAAGTGAATGGGTGTCACTGGTTGGGGAATAGTTGTACTGTTGTATATGAACATAATGGAATATTATTATTCTTGTCTGGACCTGTGACTTTATTGGTTTAGGGACTTCTCTCTGCCAAAGTGTATCAGCAACTGTTGCGTTATTTATAGTAAGTGACTTGCCTGGGATCACATAGCTCCAATATGTGTCAAAGGGAAGGCAGGGTGGTATGATGGAGAGAGTCATAGGTCCTTTGGTTTGGATGCCATAGCTAAATGTTGCCACCCATATAATTTTGGCCACGTCATGGAACTTCCCTGGGCTTTGGCTTCTTTTTACATTAACTGAGAGAGGTAGACTAGATGACTTTTAAGTTATAGATCTAAGATCCTATGAACCTAGCTCTTCCTGATCCTAAGGCTGCCTCTCTATCCATTATACTTCATTGTCTCTTAGTACATTATTGTGCTATGAGAAATGACAAATATGAGAAGTTCAGAGAAACATGGGAGAATTTATGTAAACTGATGCAGAGTGAATTAAGAAGGACAATAATGTGTATGACCACAACAATGTAAATGAAAAAAAATCACTAAAAAGAAGCAGAATTTTAAGCCATTGAAATACCAATAATGGTATTTCAACTAGATGGTTAAAGATGAAACGGAAAGGGAGTACTAGGGCAGAATGTTACATTCTGCCATCAGATGAGATCATTGGTTTGGTTACTTTTTTGCTTAACTCTTTTTCTTTCTTATATTCCCCCAAACCATCTCCTTGTCTTAACTTTCCTATTGCTATTGAGGGTATCACAACAGTAATGTAGAAAGCGAGGTGGCACAGTGGATAAACCGTTGGGTCTGGAATCAGGAATGCCTGAATTCAACTTAATTTCAACTACTTTCTAGTAGTGTGAGCCTGAGGAAGTCAAACTTCTGTCTGCATCAGTTTCCTCAACTGTAAAATGGAGATAAGGGGCAGCTAGGTGGCACAGTGGATAGAATGTCAGGTCTATAGTAAGAAAGACTCATCTTCCTGAATTTAAATATGGCCTTAGGCACTTATTAGCTGTGTGACCCTGGGAAAATCACTTAATCCTGTTTGTTTCAGTTTCCTAATCTGTAAAATGACCTGGAGAGCGGAATGGCAAACCACTACAGCATCTCTGCCAAGAAAACTCTAAATGAAGTCACGAAGAATTGGACATGATTGAACAGAAACAACAAAAATGGAAATAAAAAGAGTTCCTACTCCCAGGGTAGTTGTGTAGATCAAATGAGATAGTAATTATAAAGCAAAGTGCCTGGCACATAGTAGGAGCTTGATAAATGTTTGTTACCATTCACCTGGTCACCCAGGCTTACAACTTAGGTGTTTTCCTTGACTCATTATTCCCTTCATCCTTCATATCCAATCTGTTGCTAAGGACTGTGGATTTTACCTTTGTAACATCTCTTGAATATGCTCCCTTCTCTCCATCACCTCATACCATCACCATCTCCATCACCTCACGCCTTGACTGTTGCAAAAGCCTGCTTTTTCTTCCTGCCACAGTCCCTCCCTACTTCATTTCATTTTCCATTTAGCTGTCAAAAGTACAGGTCTGACCATGTCACTCCCACTTCCCTCCCCACTCAGTCAGCTCTATTGCCTCCCTATAAACTCCAGGATTGAATAGAAAATGCTCTTTTTGGCATTCAAAGGCCTTCATAACTTGTCCCCACTCTCTACCCTTTCCAGTCTTCTTATACCTTATACAACTTTCCTCCCTCCCTCTTCCCCATGAACTCTGCACACTTCATATCCTGACTGATCATTTTCACTGGCTGTCTCCAATGCCTGGAAGGCTCATTTCTCTAGTTTCCTTCTAGTCTCAGTTAAAATCCCACCTTTCACAGGAAGTCTTTCCTGATCTCCCTTAATTCTAGCGTCTTCCTCTATTGATTATTTCCAACTTTTCCTGGATATAGATTGTTTGTACATAGTTGTATTTGTCTCCCCTATTAGACAGTGAGCTCTTGAGAAGAGGGACTGGTGTTTTGTTTTTTTTTTTGGTTTTGTTTTTGCATTTCATCACATCCTTAGTGCTTAGCTCAGTGCCTAGCACAGAGTAGGCACTTAATAAGTATTTATTGACTGATTATAAAAGAAGATTTGCTTTCAGGACAGAGGAGTACTGGTGGTGGGATGTGTCACTGTGACATAAAAACAAAAGGTAGCAATAGAACCTTCTTTTCTCTTCCTTTTTTCCTCCCTCCTTCCATTCCTTCCTTCCTTCCTTTCTTCCTTCTTTCTTTCTTTCTTTCTTTCTTTCTTTCTTTCTTTCTTTCTTTCTTTCTTTCTTTCTTTCTTTCTTTCTTTCTTTCTTTCTTTCTTTCGTTCTATCATGACTGCACTGGAGATTATTAGCCTAGTCCATTTCTACATGAATGATTTTTTAAGAGGACCCCAGTGAGGTGAGGCAGGAATAAAGTTTTTCTTTCTTATCACCATCAAGTAAAACAAGAGGAAAGAGACATTATATGTGACAGGCTTTGAGATTTGGCTTCTCCCATGACACTGGTGTTTCCTCTGCTTTCCAGGGCTCGGCTCAGTGGATTCTTTGTTGCCCCAGAGACAAATAACTACACTTTTTGGATCCAGGCAGATAGCCCAGCCTCTTTGTACTTCAGTCAATCAGAAGATCCAGGGACCAAGGTATCGTTCTCTTCATATGCCCTCTCTTCTTTCCTCCTGTCCCTACTAACCCATCACTACTCCTCAAAAAAGGCCATAAAACCATGGACTTCTGATGGTGGGATAGCTCAGTATAAATAATCCACTCCCAGATATTGGTTCAGAAAGAAAATTTTGGCAGCTCTCCCCCTCCTACACTACCCTTGTGCCCTAGGGATCTTGGAAGCCCTCTTTGGAAAGGTATTGCTTAGCCTCAAAGGATTAGAAATGGTGCCATCCAGAATAGAGGGAGAATCTTCAACAAAGGTTATGAGCAGGAATTCACTGTGTCATTGACAAAGGGTGTTTTTAGTTTTCTTTAGGTTTTGGTTTTGATTCAAAATTTTAATTTGATGCCATGGAAACAAAGCAATCTTTAAACTGATGTGATAGGAGTCGGGGGACCTGGGTTTGAATCCTGGCTGTGCCACTTTGTAATCTTTGACCTGATCTGTCCTTGGGCAGTTGACTTACTTCTTTAAGTCTCAGTTTACTCACTTATACAATAAGAAGGTTGGGCTAGATGACCTTTAAGGTCTCCTTTAGATATAAATCTATGATGCTTTGACTCTAGTCTCTTCCAAGACTTTGAAAGTCTCAGTCTAAAATTTTTGGTGGTTGGTTAGAGTGCCCTCATGTGTCTCTACCGTGTAATATATCCATCTATACAATTCACAATGGCATTTTTTTCTAGTCTTGCTTCCATTATATGAGTGAAGTTCTGAAGAGCAACATACAACTGTAGGACTACTCTGGGTCACCCAAACCAGCTGCTTGAATTCTTCATTTGATAGATCTAGGATAAGCCCAATTTTTCTTTTAGTCATGCTTGCAAACAAGGAAAGCCATCGCAGAGTCACAGAAGAGTTGGAAGGGACCTTAGAGGCTTCCTAATATAGCCCATTTGCTAATACAGCAAATGTTCATCTAGCCTTTTCTTGAAGACCGTGGGTGAGGAGCAAGCCATTCGGGAAGAACTGAGTTCAAATCCTCTCTCAGATGCTTACTAACTGTGTGACCCTGGGCAAGTCACTTGATCTCCTTGGCTTCAGTTTCTTCATCTATAAATTGAGGGGGTGAGACTCAAGGATTTCTACCTCTAGATCTATACTTTCCAGATGTAGTTACTCCTGGTTTTTTGGATAGCTCTAATTGATAGGAAAGTTTTCCTTACCCAGTTCTGTTTCCTTGTAACTTTGCACTTTGCTCATTTCTACCAAAATCTTGGAAAATGCTCAGGACAATGGAATGGAGCTAAGAATGATTGGGCTTTCCTGTAGCAAGGATCTGACCAGTGTGGCATTCTCTAGGAGATCCTGGGCTTCACCCATAATACACAGGAAGTAACGTCATCCTTGTCTTAGGGTCATAGCTGGAGAACCAGAACTTCACAGGTCAGCTAGTCCACACTTTTTATTTTATAGTTGGGGAAACAGGCCCCAATAGGCTAAGGGACTTGTCCAGCATCACATGGGATTACACATGGAGGCAGAAGGTACTTCAGAGGTCCTCTAGCCCAACTGCTTTATGTTAAAGATGGGAAAACAGATGGGGAAAAGGGGGTCCCAAAAAACCAAGGAAGTTGTCTGAAGTCATACAGGTAGTAAACGGTAGAGCTAGGACTTAAACTTGGGTTCTATGATTCCAGGCTCCTAGTTGAATATTCTTTACGTATCATAATAAAGTCATCTTTTGATTCTTCTTAGTGGTTTTCTTGGCATTCTAAGGGAAATGAAAAAGAGAGGAAGAGAGATATGGAGACACAAACCTATCTATGTTTCCCAGGGATGCCTGTGTCAAGCCTTTTATGGATGAATTATCTGGTTTTCTTGTCATTTTAAGGAGAGAACAGCCCAATTGTTCTTTAAGGGAGGTCTGGTTGCTTCCTGACTAGGGATGGGAGGAGAGACCTGAGAGCTCAAGAGTTTTCCTTTTGGGGTATTTATTTGGATACAGGTGAAAATAGCTTTCATTCAGGCTGGCATAGCTGACTGGTTTGATTCCTGGGAGACTAATGGGCATTTGGAGACCTGGCAACAGAAGTCCCCGAAGTTGGAATTGTTGGGTGGGGCAAAGTACTACCTGGAAGCCGAACACTATGGCACAACTCCCAGTCATGGGATGAGCGTTGGAGTCCAGATCCACAACACCTGGCTGAATCCTGATGTGGTAAACACCTACCGTCGGGAGAAACTCCAGATCCGAGCCAATGCTCAGAGGCTCCCAGAGATACAGGTCAGTTTTACCTTTGGTATCCATTGAGACTTGAGTCAGAGCAAGGGCCCACCTCTGGAAGTGGGGTTGCCATGGCCTAGTGGAAATGACATGAGACTGGAAGTCAGGAGACCTGGGCTTTAGTCCCATTCCTCATGCAGATTAGCTGTGTGACTTTGGGCAAATCATCTTCCCACCTTAAACTTCCATTTCCTGATTATGTAAGAGGAAAGCACCTGCTCTCCTCTTTAATTAATTATAATTAATGGTATTAAATAATTAAATCATCTATGAATTTAATTAATTATCCTTTACAGACCTGTTGTGAAAATAAATGGGATGATAGTTTTGAAAGTATCTTGCAAAAGTATTATTTCTGGGTGAGGTGCTGGCACAAGTCCATAATTCCAGCTACAAGAGAAGCTAAGGCTGGCAGATCTCCTGTACTCGGATATACTGAACTGCAGTGGTCTATATTGATCATGTGTTTGCACTAAATTCGTTATCAGTATGGTGAGCCTTATAGGATATTGGGGACTAGGGGAGGGGGCACCAGGTTGCCCAAAGAGGGGTAAATTGGCCTATGTTGGAAACAGAACAGGTGAAAGCTTCTAGGTAGATCAGTAGTGGTACTGTCCCCTGAGTAGCTTCTGAGCTTCTATTGTGAGCAAGATGAGGAGATACATGTGAAGAAAGAAGGGAAGAAGGAGGGAAAGAGAGAAAGAGAGAGAGAAAACAAGAAGAAGAAGGAGGAGGAGGAAGAGGAAGAGGAGGAGAAGGAAGGGAGGGAGGAAGAAAGGAAATAAAAAAGAAAGCAAGGAAGAAGGAAGGAAGGAAGGAAAGAAAAAGTATTATTTATATGATCATTGTACTGTTTTGCTTGGCTTCTCTTGGTTTTAAGACTAAATTCTGGGTAAACCTTGTCCTGGATATTCATTGCTTTCACTGAATAAAGGTAGAGGTCTGGAACTCATCACCCATTATTTCCCTTGATCAGTAGCCACTCCTTTCTGGCTGGACCCAGATCCTGTGTCCCCTAGTTCTCTTGGCTTGTCCCCATCTCTTAAAAGGCAAAGGATAATGGTGCTTTCATTCTATAGAAAATAATTCAGTATATAAATTACTCACATTCATCTTACAGGATTTGTTTTCTCATATGTTAAATGAAAGTATTGGATTTGATTTATTCTAAGGTACTTTCTGGCCCCAAATCTATGACCTAGAATATTGCTGTTTTAACAAAGGAGATTGCCATGGAGAAAGAACATCTATTTAGCAATATTTAAAGACGTCTTTGAATAATATCATTTGAACTCAACACTCTCGAGACAAGACACATAAAATATAAAGACAGACTCATATGTTCATGGCAAGAAAGGCATTTACTAAATGAATGAAAGCCAAACTCTCCCCTTTTTGTTGTTGTTTGGTCCTTTCAATCATGTCTGATTCTTCATGACTCTCTTTTTTTTTTTTTGGCAAAGATACCAGAGTGGTTTGTCAGTTTTTTTCTTCAGCTCATTTTACAGGTGAGGAAACCGAGGCCAACAGGGTTAAGTGACTTGCCCAGGGTCACCCAGCTAGTAAGTGTTTGAGGCCAGATTTGGACTAATGAAGATGAGCCTTCCTGACTCCAGGCCAGGCTATACACTGCACCACCCAGCTGCTAAAAACTGCCCTTAGTTTCTAATTGGTGGTTGAATTTTAAATATTGAAATTCAATTCAATTCAATTCAATGAATCCTTATTGAGTGTTTATAGTGTGCTGGGAAATGGACTACTAGGCAATGGGGAGCATCGAAATAATATCTGCTGAAAAGGAAATGATAAAGGTGAAATCGATTTGAATTAGTCTGAATTATTTCTTCTTGTCTGTCTTGCACTTTCAGATGCTGAATGTGACTGGCACAGGAAAATTTTGTCTCACCTGGGATGGTGTCTCCAGCCAGCCGGTAACTGTAAATGCCACCGCTGCTCAGGTGTGGGCCTACTCTTCCTCCATGTCACTGGAGCCTTCCTCAATTGCACATACATGGCAGATTTTCTGCTGATTTTTCTTTTTACAGTAATCATTCCATGTATTTTTCTTTTTGACAGATCCAAACAGCGATAGAGGAACTGCTTACAGTAAAATGCAGACTGGAACCACTTTCAGCTCAAATTCTTCTCCATTTTGGATTTGAACAAGGTGCTGTCTTGGCTTTGGTGAATTATGAGCCTTTTGCACTTCAATTCCCTCTTTCTAGTTCTGTAAAATTATAGGCATAATACTTATCTCCCTTTGAGGATGCTGAGAAATGTCAATGAATGTATCAGGCCAAAAGTATTGCAATGAGAAGTTGCTAATGGAGAGGAGGTGTTATATTTTTAAAAAGAAAAGTTGTTTGTTGTCCCTTCATCCTTGAGAAGGTAAAACACTGCAGACCAAGAGAAAGGACAAAGAATAAGTATAGGAAGCTGTGAACCTTTAGGCTCCTTAGATTTGTGCCTTGTAAAAAGAAAAGTGCTGTAGGAGGAAACAATCATAATCAATTATCATATTGCGTGGGTTCTGGGGTTGTATTTTTTTTTAAACAAGTAAGAAAGTGGTTTCTAAACTTTGTATTTGGAAATGATAACTAAGTCATTGACCTGCCCTTTTAATTGTAACAAATTCTCTAGAATCATGCCCCCGACTTGCACTCAAATTGGTGGACTAGGTCCCCAGAGCATGGCTAATCTTGAGGGTTCTAGGCATGACCTTAAGGGGCTGGAATTTCTATGCTGGTGTTCATTAATTCCCACAGGTGTCCTCATTATCAATAAGCCACTTGAACTCTATTAGCTTATAGAAAAAGGATTTGCTGAGCAAATACAGCTAGAATAGTTGTCACAAAACAATGCCCTTTGAACCAGAGGCACACTCTTCCTTTGAACAAAATCCCTGGGAGAGTGGGCACAAGATGAAAGTATAAATGTAAAGAGTCACACATGTAGAGAATGCACAGACCCAAAAGGTGCCTCTAAACTTCTGCCCCTGCCAATCTTTATGTCCCTTTGTGGACATCTCATGCAATTCATCCCTAAGTGCAACTCTCTTTTGGGTTTCATGAATCAGGCATAGTTCACTTAACCCTGTCATGAGGGATCACAGTCCCTGAAACTATAACATCTTTGGGTGGCTTTTCCAATGAAAAACATCTTTTACCCATCTGTGGGTACTTCATTTGTTATTGGCTACTATCACTCTGGTATTACAGGTTATTTATTATTATTATTGCTTCTGGAAGACTCTACCAGTGATTGATTCTGGTTCCTGCTGGATCCCCTGATGACTCAGAGAAGTCTTCCAAACCCACATGGTTGCCTGGACATTTTCCTCTCAGAATAATCATTCACCTAGGAAATAATATACAACTTAACTGTTGCATATAGCACCTTAACTGTGAGCACGTGGTACTTCTGCCTTCCCCCTCCCCTTAATATCAGGAAATAATAATAACACAAATTCTGCCATTACCACTTACTAGATTGTGACCAGGGGCAAATCATTTAACTAAGTCTTTAAAAGATATACGCCTACTGTATGGGGATGTTGTAAAATCCAATTAAGATAACATACTCAGAGTACTTTGCAGTCTTTCAAGCAATATTTAAATGTTAGTTATCATATACATGTATATATATATATATAGTCTATATAGTCTTAATATATGTCCTTATAGATCCCTTGAAAGTTTGCAAACTATTCTGCATATGTTATCTCAATTGAACGATATATAGATGTTAACTATTACATGCATATTGTTGTGGTATTATAGATCCTCATATGTGAGTTTAAAATTTTGCAAAGTACTCTGTATATATTATTTCAATTGGACTAATAATAGCAATCCCAGAAGAAAGGCACTCTGGACATTGTTAACCTTGTTTTACAGATGAGGTTAAGTGACTTGCCCAGGGTCACACAGCTGGTAAATGTTTGAGGCAGGATTTGAACTCGTGAAGATGAATCTTCCTGATTCCCAGGCCAGTGCTCTATTCACTAGGCCACCTAGTTGACCTATCATCCACATAAAGATTTAACATAATCAAACTCAAATTTGACTTTTGTGTATATCTTATGAAACAAATATGATTTATTTGTATTTACTGTCACTTGGAGTGAATTCACCATATTGGTTTCACTTTTATAGCCTTATATTTGAACTTATTTTTGTTGAATAAAGTGGATCTTTTCCCATGAGTATTGTACTTTAAAATATTGAGTAATTTTGGCCCCTCCTTTGCCACCAAATCCACTTCCAGGGCAAGCCCTTTGGAAAGTATTGAACTATGTTGTTCAACAAACTTTTATTACATGAGTGTATTGTGTTAGGCATTCTATATATAGAGATGAAACAGAATTTGGTCACTGCTCTCAAGGGGCTGATATTCTTTTTTTTTTTTGGCTAGGCAATGGGGTTAAGTGACTTGCCCCAGGGTCACACAGCTAGTAAGTGTTATGTGTCTGAGGTTGGATTTGAACTCAGGTCCTCTTGACTCTAGGGCCAGTGCTCTATCCACTGTGCCACCTAGCTGCCCCAAGGGACTGATATTCTAATAGGGAATATTATACAAGGGTGTACTGGAGCAAGCTCAAAATAGCTCAGGAGAGGCAGTTGTTAAATTTTCAGCATATGCATTTGCTGTTGTTCAGTTGTGTCCAACTTCTTGTGACCCTGTTTGGGGTTTTCTTGACAAAGATACTGGAGTGGTTTGCCATTTCCTTCTCCAGCTCATTTTACAGATGAGGAACTGAGGCAAACAGGGTGAAGTGACTTGCCCAGGGTCACACAGGTAGTAAGTTCCTGAGGCCAGATTTGAACTCAGGAAGATGAGTCTTTCTGACTCCAGGCCCAGCATTCTATCTATTGCAACACCTAGCTGCCCTTCGTAAGCTTTTACACCTCAGAAATTGGCAAATGTTACAGATCAGGTCTTGGTTTATTGTTTTGTTGATTATCTAGACTTAAGAAAGTGAAGGAGAAAATGTTAATGCACAAATTAAAATTAAATGTTGTGGGACTATGTAATATAGAAATAAATAAGTATGGTATAAGATAGAGTACGAATATAAAGGAGAAATTCTTTAAAAATTCTAAGTAAATTTGATGAGTGAGAAAACACTTTTGAATTTGAAAATATATTCTATTTTTTTTTCTAACATGTTCCCACTCATCCTTCTGGTCTTCTCTGACTACTTCTTTCTCTTTAACCTCACCCATCTTTCTTGGTATCATGACTACCACCAGGTCTACAGGATTCTGGTCCTGATGGGGACCTCAGCAGTGGGACTGAGCCCTTCTGTGGAAGGTTCAGCATCCACCAGCCTCAATACCTTGTCAGAACATCAGAAGCCATGCGGATGAGATATCAGCTTGATCAATATACACATGTAAGTCATAGCACAATTTCTATTTCAGGCTTCTTCTCACCTCTCCCTGAAAAAAAATCCATGTGAAGAAGTCACCAGAATAGACATTATTTCCCTGGTTGGGGGGGGAAACTGAGGCACAAAGTAATTATTGCTAAGATTTTTTTGGCAATAGTAAGATCCAGCTTACTTGACTATTATCTTAGAGCTGTGAACAAAGTACGATCATGGAATCGTTGATTACCATGCTCTGAACTCGGAGTCAGGAGATACTTGGGTTTAAATCCTATCTCTGACCCTTAATAACTGTGTGACCATGGAAAATTTACTTAACTCTTTCAACTTCAATTTTAACTTATAGGATGGTGGTTCCCAAAGCTTTGTTGTTCTCCAAACTCCTTTCAACAGCCACAACAACAAAAATGTGTTGTGAATGCCCTGAGTAATTTAATATTACTGGCAATATTCTTTTAGATTTGTTCATTAAGTTCTTGCAGTAAGAGCAATGATAACTTTTGCCATTAGGGTTTGATTTGATTGCTGCATGAACACTAACATCATGATTGTGACAGTTTCAAATTGTTGCAGAAATGAACATGCACATACTCATTGCCATGGAGGAAAAATATATTTGTAACATAACTGGGGATTTTTTTTTTTTTTTTTTACTGATTAAGGTACCATCAGTGAGTTTTTAGCACAAACTTTTGGGACCATCATTGCAAACCTCTTATACATAGGACAATAGGTTCATAGAACTAGATTTAGAGAGGGCTATAAGGGCTATCTTGTCCAAACCCCTCATTTGATGGACGAGGGAACTGAGTTTTAAGGAGGCTCAGCAACTTGCCTAAGGTCACCCAAGTAGTAAGCTTAATTTTCTCATCTCTAAAATGGGAATAATAATATTTGCCTCAAGGGATTCTCGTGAGAATCAAATGAAATAGTATTGAGTGCTTTTCTATATCTTAATGTGCCATGTAAATACCAGTTTTTATTATGATAAGCATAATCACTATCGTAACTAGTAAACCATAGGATTATAGATTTAGAGTGGGAAAGGACCTTAGAGGTATTTTTTTTGTCCAAACTCCTCATTTTACAGATTAGGAAACTGAGGCCCAGAAAAATTAAGTTTATAATAATACAATTTTTATATAATTTATAACATGTTATATATTATAATAGAAATAAATATATACTATTATGTATTAAATATATTACATATAATAAAATAAGATAATATATAATATATGTGAATATATACCATAATATATGCAATATGTGATGTATTTATATAATGTATAACATGTATAATTTATCATAATAATATAATTTATAGTAATATAATTAAATTAAGTTTATAACTTCACCCAAAGTTTATGGAGGTAGTGTCAGAGTCCAGATTCAAACCCAAGTCCTCTGACTCCAAACGCAGCACTCCTTCCATGGTCCCATACTACCTCCCTCCTTCCTGTGGAAGTTTATATATTCCTCAATACTTTCTCTTATTACATTGTCAGCAGCTCTTGGGGGTGGAAATAACGCCATTGCCCTTGCAACCCTTAATTTTTTGGTCCAAGAACTTAGATCTTCACAAAAGAAAGATGAGTCTTTTGGAAGAAGATGAATGCAGACCACATCTTGTCTTGGTTAAAGAGTGTATAGGAGTAATATCTAGTCCCTGGGTTGTTTGGGTTCTATTATGACTTTCTGAGTTGAGACTTTTTTTTTTTTTATTATTTATTGATTGTTTTTCAGCAATTGACACTTTTGATCTTTGACACCTCTTTTCATCCTCAATAATCAACTTATCCCTAACTAATAATTCTCCCTCCAAAATGTGTGATTTGCCCATGTCTCTGCATTCTAACAGTTACCTCACAAGTTTTGGTCCTAACTGCCTCATGCCCTGATTAATACAACGGCCTTTCCTGCCTCTAGTCTCCTCTCCTGCTACTTCTTCCTCCCTTAATCCACTCTAGATAGATAGATCAGACAGACATAGTTACAAATATATACAATCCAATAACCAGGTCCAATAAACATTTATCGGGTACCTACTATATGCCACGCATTGTGTTAAGTAATGAGGATAAAATTAATAAAAAGAAAGACAGTCCTTCCTTCCAAGGAGCTTACAGTCTAATGGGGGAGATAATACACTAGGTGGCATAGTGGACAGAGTGCTGGCCTTGGAGTCAGAAAGACTCTTCTTCCTGAATTCAAATCTGGCCTCAGATGCTTAGTAGCTATGTGACCCTGGGCAAGTCACTTAATCTTGTTTGCCTCAGTTTCCTCATCTGTCAGATGAGCTGGAGAAGGAAATGACAAACCACTTCAGTATTTCTGCCAAGAAAACTCCAAATGGGGTCATGAACAGTTGGACGTGACTGAAAAACAACTGAACAACAAAATACACAAAAGGAAGCAGGAAAGGGGGTGGGGTGAGACACCAGGGTGTACCCAGCAAGGCATTTGGGAGGAGCTTAGCACTCTGCCCTCTAGCCCTCTAGTCAGAGGGGAGAGGTGATTGAAGGAGGTGTCAATCAAAGCTTGAGTTAGCAGCACAGTGGTAAATGTAGAAATGATGAGCTTATTCTGGGTGGGGCATCTTATTCTGTGGAGCTGAAACCAGGCAGAGTAGTAGATATAAAGTGGAGTGAGTGTGTGCCTAACATTGTAGATAATGCCTGGGGGACTCTGGGCAAGTCACTTAACCTTTCAGTAATCTAGGCAACTCAACTCTAAGTTTCAGAAAAACTAGTAGCTCTCAAATTTTTTAGTAAAGTTCTTAAAAATGATTAAGGACCTCAAAGAACTTTTGTTTATATGAGTAGTAACTGTTGATACTTACTTTATTAGCAACTACCATGTCTTTGTATTATTATGAAAATAGTTGTGGACTGCACCTCTCCCCCAAATGAGCTTGGAGCCCCAGAGGACCCAGGACCATACTGTGAAAACTGCCGCTCTATACCAATGAAATCATTGGTTCTGCCCCCATCCAGTTAACTGCTGTAATGCATTGACCTTGTCATCATGAAATGAGTTCAAATCCAGCTTCAGACACTTACTAGCTCTGTGACCCTGGGCAAGTCACTTAATTTCTCTGAACCTCAGTTTTCCCATATGTAAAATAATGATAAAAATAGCACTTACCTCATAAAGTTATTGTGAAGATCAAATAAGAACATAAGGTATTTTGCAAGCCTTAAAGTGTTATATAATGGCTGGTTATTAATATTATTATCCTTATTCCTTCTATATTTATATCACCCCTAGAATTCTTTCCATCTCTCTCTCTCTCTATCTATCTATCTATCTACTTATTTACCTACCTACCTATCTCTTTCTATTTTTTCTATACATCTACTTATCTACCTATCTCTATATCTCTCTCTACCTACATATTTACCTACCTACCTCTTCATGTCTGTCTATCTATCTATCTATCTATCTATCTATCTATCTATCTATCTATCTATCTATCTCTATCCCTTGATGTTTAGTGCAGTATTAGTCAAATACTAGATGTTCAGTAAATACTTGATAAATGATTGTTGCTTGAACTAATCAACATTTCCATGTTGAATTCTATCTCTAGCTGTGCTTTGCATATAAAGGTCATATGAATGATACCATGATCATCTCAGTATCCTTCACAAGTACATTTCATAAGATTGTAAAGAAGAAGATTGCCTGTGGATGGAATCCAGAGCAGCTGAGGACTGAAAGGTACTTAATTTGAAAAAGAAGTTCTGTTTGAATTCAGAGAGTTGGGGTTCGTGTTTCCTTAGGACCAGGTTAACAATATACCTGGGGTAACAACTGTTTATAATGTCTGATTATATTTTCGGCATTATGATCCCATAATCCATTATAATCAGTAGAGGGTCAAAATAAGAGAAATTAATTACTATTAATAATAATAGTTAACAAATTTAAATCTTGAGACTGAGTATTCTTCCTAGAGGATGACATCATTTCTTATATACATGGAACCATAGAATGTTAGTGCTAGATAAGATCCTAGGAGTGATTGATTCAAACTCCATTTTATAGATAAGGAAAATGAAGTCAGATAGGACCCTCCCCAGGGTTACATAGTGAGTTGGTGACAGAATAAAGTTGAGAATCCAAAGCAGTGAGTCTCTACCCCTTATAGTAATCATGGGTATGGCTATGACATAAATGATATCAGTCATGGTCGGCATTTCCATAGCATTGACCTGCTTTACCTTCCTATAGTCTTTCTCTTATCTAATTCAGACTCACACAATTGACAAATTTATTTTCCTAATGCGCAAGCCTGACCATGTTATTCCTCTGCTCAAAAAACTCCAGTGGCTCCTAGTTGCCTCCAGGATGGAGTAAAAATTTCTCAAACGTTTAAAGTCCTTGACAATGTCTCCAGCCTTACTTTCCAAGATTATTATACAATAATCTCTTTCATGAACTCTACTTTTTAACCAGACTTGCCTGTTCACTGAACATAGGGATTCATCTCCCATCTCCTTGACTTTGTATAGGCTGTCCTCCTATTCCTCAGCACACTTGGTGGAAAGCATTCTCTCCTCACCTCTGCCTCCTAGAATCTCTTTATTCATTTTTCCAATTGTGTCCAACTCTTTGTGACCCTATTTGGGATTTTCTTGGCAGAGATACTGGAGCGGTTTGCCATTTCCTTCTCCAGCTCATTTTGCAAATGAGGAAACTGAGGCAAACAAGATTAAATGACTTGCTCAGGGTCACATAGCTAGTGAGTGTCTGAGGTCAGATTTGAACTTAGGAAGATGAGTCTTTTTGACTCCAGGTCTGGAACTCTATCCACTGCACCAACTAGTTGCCCCCAGAATCTCTAGCTTTGTCAAAAGCTTAGCTCAACTACTATGAGATCTTTCCCAATCCCTCCCAGTTGGTAGTGCTTTCATCCTCCTTTCACTTTGCATTTACTTTGTAGATATTTTACATAGGATCATAAGACAATAGAATTTAAATTTAGAATTGGATGAAAATGTAGAGGTCATTTAGTTCAACTCTTTCATTTTAAAGATGACAAAACCAAGGCCCTGATTAGGGAGATGACTTCCTCAAGATCACACAGGTAGTAAATAAAAGAGCCAAAATGTGATCCAAGGCCCTCTGACTCCAAATAATATTTTCCCAAATAGCATGTGAGCTTCTTGAGGGCAAGGATTGTTTTGGCCTTTGCATCTCCAGAACCTAGTACAGTGCTCAGTACATATAAGATGCTTAATAAATGCTTGCTTGATTAATTTTTTGTAACATTCACAGAGGAGTGCAATAGAGAGGCAGGCACAAGTGCCCATGGTAAACTATTATCCAAAGAAGAATTAGGAGTCTGAGATGAAGAGTATTTCACATATCATGGTAGGCTGGGACCTTGTAATGCTTATTTATGTTCTCTTATAGTATGTAGCATGAAGTCATTTGCTCTTTTGTTTCAGGCATGAATCAATAATTGTTAACTTAAGAGAGTACTTAAGTGGCATCTCATCAAAGAACTATGCTTTTCTTTCCATTCATTCTAATGTAAAATTTCTTAATCTTTTTTGTGTCATGGACTCCTTTGGCAGTCTGGTGATGGCTATGAACCCCTCCTCAAAATGTTTTTTTTTTTTAAAATTCATAATAGTATGAAATGCCAAATTTCCAGTCATGTCAGTGAAAATAAAGATATGTTTTTTCTCCTCATCCAAGTTCACAGATACCCTTTGAAATATATTCATGGAGGGGCAGCTAGCTGGCACAGTGGATAGAGCACTGGCCCTAGAGTCAAGAGGACCTGAGTTCAAATCTGTTCTCAGATCAGTCACTTGACACTAGCTGTGTGACCCTGGGCAAGTCACTTAACTCCAATTGCTTTGCCCAAAACAAAAGAAATATATTCGTGGACCCATTGCAGATCCATGGACCCCAGGTTAAGAACCTTTGCTAGAGTAAGACTTTTTTTTTCCCCTAGTGGTGAATAATTTGGTAAGTTAACTCATGTCGGGGATCTTTTTCCCATCCAAGTAATCTGGTGACTGAAAGTTTCTGAGAATTACTACTTAAATCCCACCTTCTCAAACTCAGTATCCCCATTCCCAAAAAAGAGGGGTTTCTAAGTGACCCTTCAGGCCACCTCTGCTACTTATCAGGTGAGGTCAACTTTCACCCTGTCTGTTGTTTTTCAGCTGGAAGTTTGTCTGTCAGGACCTCTGGGAGTCATGTGTGCGTCACTCTGAGGGCCTCAACCACCATCTGGCCAACTCCCCTGTGCTGGTGCATCAGATTGATGTGTTTCCCCAAGTCATTGAGAAGAGCCAGTTCTACATAGATGAAATTATTGTTGCAGATAGAAATTTAGCAGGTGATTATCTAATTCCTGCCTCTTTCCCTCTCTGTCAAACACTTTTCTCTGCCTTCCTTGTTATTGGTTACTTTCTTTTCTTTTCCTTTTATGATTTATTTTGGTAGAGAAGATCCCACCCAACAAACACAAATTACTTCCTCTTCCTAAAGTACATGCCCTAAAAAAGTTAAATAAAATTACCTAAAAGAGTGATTACAACTGATGGTACAGGTCACTTTAATGGTCTCCCACAGAAAGAGGAATGAACTTGACATTATAAAACCTGAATTTGAATCCATCTGTCATTTACTACCTGTGTGGTCTTGGACAAATTACAACCTCTCTGTGCCTCAATTTCCTCAACTGAAAAATAAGGTGTTTGGACTAGATGATGACTAAGGTTCCTTCCAGTTTAGATCTATGGCATTATCATGAATCTTGTACTTTACAGTTTAAAAGAAAAGAAAGGTATATGCTTTATAATGGTTATGGCAGCTAGATGGTACAGTAGATAGAGCACTGGACTTGGAATCAGGAAGGCTCATGTTCAGTTTTTCAATTCCAGCCTCAGATACTTACTAGCTATGTGACCCTGGGCAAGTCGTTTACCCCTGATGACCTCAGTTTTCTCATCTATAAAGTGAGCTGGAGAAGGAAATGGTAAACCATGATTGAACAACAAAGTGGTGAGAGAATACAGGTTCCCTATTTTGTCTTCCCTTGACCCTTGTCCTTGTTACTTCTAAGAAAGTATTATAAAGGCAGCATGGCGTAATGGATAGAATGTCAGGCTTAGAGTTCGAGTACCACTTTTGACATTTCTTAGCTGCATGCTTTAAGCAGCCCTTTACTACTACAGTATTGAGCAAATTAAGTAAAATCATTAAAGCTGTTGACTTATAGTAAACACTACAACTTTTTACATCTTAAAAACAAAAACTTTTACTATGCAATATGCCAGCATTTTGCTTTAATCACTTATTTTCCAGATTTGGCATTGAGTTAACAAGATTTTGAAACCTTTATTTAATTCTTCACCCATAAAACTAAACCTTAATTCAATTGGATATGAAAAGTACCTTTGATTAACAGTCCAGTTTCTCAGGTCTAGTCTTGATTATATTTTCTTTGCTCTCTAAATGTTGTCTAGTTTGTAGGCCATCAAATCATACTTGTCTCCTCTTGGGTAAACTTCTCAGCCTTTCATGACATGTGGAATGGTACATGGTTAAGTCACAACATTCCATCTCCATTTGGGAATTTCTGTAATTCTATAAATTCTGCTTGTTGGTGTACCAACAGATTTCTCAGAGTTCATCATTTGCTCAATAGGGATTGGTCTTGCAACTCTACTGGAAGTAAAACATCCTTAAAACATTTTTTTGGTGGGTGTTTTACAGTAGATGCCCCCATCTTACAAGCTTACCTGCATTTCTCCTAACAATGGAACTTTGAATGAAAAAGTAAGTTTCATCCAAAAACATTGCTTTCCCCCCAATATTTAGTATTCCAGTCTTTGCATTGGCTTGCATATTACAAGCATTTTTTTTTTTAATGTAAAGATTGGCAACTATTTTTTCCCTCTGGTCTTCTTGCTTTTTTTTTTTTTCTTTTTTCCAACTTCAGAAATCCTATGTTATACTCTAAGTTAAGAAAGCACTTTACATGTGCTATTTCACTTGATCTTCACAATAGCCCTGGGAGTTAAGTGTTATCAAGATCCCTATTTTACAGATGAGTAAACTGAAGCTGAGAGAGGTTAAGTGCATTGCCCAAGGTCATGCAACTATTAAGTGTCTAAGGAAGGATTTGAACTCAGGTCTTCCTGATCACTCTAAGTTTACTACTCTATCCACTCTACCTGTTTGTTTTCTGAGGATTAAGATATTTTGTAGCAATACTTTATCATCTCTTTAGCACTATGTTTTGTTTTTTGGCCGCCATTTCTCTTGCCATTTGGTGTGAATGATGCTGTTTCATTATAGGCTTGAATGATCCTTGAAGCTTTTGACTTTCTCACACCATTGCTATTGTATCTCTAACAGTTATTGAATTGTGCTCTTAAGGAGATACATTTGCACATTTCCTTGCTCTAATATTAATTCTTATAAACCCCGTAACACAAGCACAACAAAAGAAAGAAATGAAACGTGTTTGTCATGAAATCAAGCACTCAACTGATGGAGAACTAGCTAAAAGTGGGGAAACCAGCTCAATTCAACCTCACATACTCAAGTTCTTACTTCTGAGTCAACTTATTGTCAGTAGAAACACATGAACATGACTATTGCTATCATAAAATAAAGCTTATCAAAATTATTGTTTTTTTCCCCAAGGAATATGCACCCTACGTCCTAGGAAATTGTGATGTACACCTTAGCTCCCAAACTGCAACTCAATTCTTTTTGGTGAATTGGTGGAAGTCCTGTATCAAGAGCTCCCTATACTCATAAAATCACAGATGCTTTCCATATTCCCATAAGAAAATATTAGGACTGAACAGTAAGGATGAAATACCTTTCATCTATCCTTTGCCATTTTCTGTTTTTCTGTATCTGCCTTAGTCTTTGTGTTTATCAGGCAAATGAATTTTGGTTATCAAAGATGGGAAAGTTCCCCTTGTGATTGGCAGGTTAATCCATCTCTACAAAACATTTGTTATACTTAAGTAGATTGCTAAATGTTAAATGAGGGCTATCTAAAAGTGAAATGGCTGCCTCTGGAGGTGGTGAGCATCCCCTCATTGGAGGTTTTTGAGCAGAGGCTGGATGGCCACTTTTCAGATGTGTTACAGTTGAAGCAGCCAGGTGGCACAGTGGATAGAGTGTTGGGCCTGGAATCAGAAAGATTCATCTTCCTGAGTTCAAATCTTACCTCAGACACTTACTAGCTGTGTGACCCTGAGCAAGTCACTAACCCTATTTGCCTTAGTTCTTCATCTGTAAAATGAGTTGGAGAAGGAAATGATAAACCACTCCAGGGTCTTTGCCAAGAAACCCCCAAATGGGGTCACAAAAGTCAGACATGACTGAAACGACTGAATAACACAGTTGGGATTCCTCATCCAGTATGGGTTGGGCAAGGTGGAATTTTATGACTAAATTTTATGATTCTGATTCTGTAAATAGAATCTAAGGAGACTAAGCCCCATAAAATGGCCGAGGATCTCATTCAGACACAATGGAGAGCTTAAAGGGTGAGTGTATACTGTGGGGAAGTTGACTGATGTCCCTTTTCTGTACTTTTCCAAATTTTGCCCATCATTCAAGGACCAAATTATAGCTCACCTCCTCTATGAAGTCTGATTACACTACCTTTCAATAATCTATTCCTACTTGTTCACTTTCCCATAACTGACAGTCACAGCTTATAGTGAGGGAATTGTCTGCAACCAGGCAACTAATCAACCAATAAGCATTTATTTATAAGAGCCTGTTATAGAGCAGGCATTTTGCTAGGTGGTGGTGATACAAAGAAATTTAGTCAGTAAACAACATTTATTAAATATTTGTTATGTGATAGGCTTTGCTAAATGTTGGGGATACAAAGAGAGGCAAAATTATTGTTCCTTCCCTCAAGGACCTCTTACTTTAATGGAGAAGACAATATACAAATAATTATCTACATAGAAGATAAATACAGAAGATATGGATGGTAATCTCAGAGGGAGGACACAAGTGGATGGGGGTGGGAAAACTACTGTCAAAGGTAAGATTTGAGTGAGTCTTAAAGGAAGCCAGAAGCCAGAAATGAAAGATTCCATGTCCTCAAATAATTTATTGTCTATGTTGGGAGACAACACATACATATATAAGAATATATAAAATAAATGTAAGTGTTTTCTTTGGGGAAGGGGTGGTAGGACAAGGCACTTGCAGCTGGAAGGAAATCAGAAAAGGTTTTGTGTAGGAGAACATACCTGAAATGAATTTTGAAGGAAGCTAAGGATGCTTAGAGATGAAGTACATTCTAGGCAAAAGGGACAGTTGGTAGAAAGACATGGAGACAGCAGATCTGGTGTGCCATTTGTGAGAACCAGGGAGACAACTCTTTTGGTTAAAGTGAAAAGAGAGGTTTTGAAAGAGTACGGGAGAGAGGCGGAGCCAAGATGGCGGAGGGAAAGCAGTGACTTGCTGGAGCTCTCCCCACAAACCCCTCCAAATACCTATAAAAAATGGCTCCAAACAAATTCTAAAGCAGCAGAACCCACAAAAAAACAGAATGAAACAAATTTCTGGCCAAAGACAGCCTGGATGGTTGATCAGACAGGTATATCACGCCAGGCTGGGAGAGGAGCGCAGTGCAGAGTGGGCGTGGGCACGCAGACTGCAGCAACCCTAGAGCAGGCCTCAGAGGGCTGAATCGCAGGCAGCTGTGGTGGTTTCCAGACTTCTCAACCCAAGAACACCAAAGACAACTTGGAAGGTCAGTGGGAAAAGTCTGTGACTGCGATGAGAGAAGGAGCTAGGTCTCAGCCACCCCTGGGGGCCGCGGCTGTTCCCTGAGCTTCCGGCCTGAGGGGGAATCAAGTGGCTGATCAGAGTGGGATTGCAGGAATCTCTTTGCCAGTGCTGAGGCAGGAATTTCTTGCTTTACCAGTGCTTGGATCTGGGTCACAGTTCTGAGGGGCGGTCCTAGGGTGAGGAGGAATGCTGGTGTGGTGAAGCTTCTTGTAGCGGTGGAGAGAAAACATCTCACCCCTTATCATAGCACCTTGGAAGAACTGAAAATTTTCAGGTCCCTAGAAGTATCTCTGAAAACAGCTGTACAAACCCCTGAAACTTGGGACAGCACATTCTCCACATTGGAAGCAGACTTTTACCTTACCAAAGAGTTTAACACTCAAGTAATTGGCCGGGATCATGAGTAAGCAGTACAAAAAAGAGTCAGACTATATTATCTTACTTTGGAGACAAAAAAGATCAAAATGTACATCCAGAAGAAGACAACGAAGCCAATGAATCAGTCCCAGGCCTTGGAAGAGCTCAAAAGGGATTTTGAGAAGCAAGTAAGAGAAG